TAGTTCGTTCAAATATTTTTTTAAATGAGTATTAAATTGTGTGGACGTTCATTTACAGATACTATTAAGTAAACAATCAAGATCTTGATTCATGTTTTTTTTTTCATGTTCGATGGACATTCGATGAAATTAATCGATCTATTTTAATATAATTTGGTTGTTAAGTCATTCATTTCATGATCAATTGGATATGCAAATGTAATAACAATATGATTATATGAGTAAATCACTGTAGAGATATAAGATATTCATGGATTTTTTTCATCAAATGTATTTGTAACTTTCGAAACTTGTTGAATTTTAATTCTAAATAAGTACCCACATAGAAAAATATTGAAAAAGTTCGCAATTTCTAAACTTATTTCATATTTCAATACTTGTCCAGACTCAAAAGTTTAGTTCTCATCGAATTCGTTTATATTTCGATCGATAAAGAACAATTTTAGTTTTATGAATTTTTTTTAATCTTTGGAATATGATCATATTTAGTTGTTGAAACTGCTTTCAAACTGACGATAGTTCTTTTGAAATATAGCTTTTTTACTTGTTTTCAAAATTTCCTTGTAGTGTATAAAAATGTTCGATATGCAACAGTCATTACTTTGTTTTGACATGTAATATATTACATTTCGTATATATTATGATATATATCTGACAGACAGATATTTATGTTGTATGTACAAGAATGCATACAGATTCCATTACTATTATGCTTGTAATAGAAGTTTAAATCGATTGAAAATTTTCTCAATTATAAAACAAATGAAAAAAAAAAGTTCAAATATTTATTTATTTGACATTTTTATACTTTTTCTTTTCATTTAGAGGATATGTAGGAGTTTTAGAATATCCTTTGTTATTCATTTCAATTATGAAATATAAATATTATATAAATTTCATATAAACAAAAAAAAAAGGAAAACCAACTAATGTCGGCGCCAGAATTAAAGAGGGGTTGGTGTAAATTGAATAACTCAACAACGGCAAGAGCTAGCGACCTGCGGTTTTCACCAATCGAAAGAGAAGGAGTGGGGACGTCTTTTTCTCTCATAATGTATAAAACGAAATTCTTTTAAAACTAATCATATTTGAAAAACATGCAAAAGAACCCATGAAAATGGTCTGCCAGCTAGATGAAATTTTGATTTTGAGCTTTGATTTAGATAGAGGGACTTCAGATCTATAGCTCAAGACTCAATGCAAATGGTTATCTTATTACATTCTCGTCTTATACATTATGAGAGAAAAAGACGTCCCCACTCCTCCTCTTTCGATTGGTAAAAACTGCAGGTCGCTAGCTCTTGCCGTTGTTGAGTTATTCAATTTACACCAACCCCTCTTTAATTCTGGCGCTGACATTAGACAGTTAGTCCAGTAGCTTAGCGATGTATTCTTGAAAATTAGGAAATGGATTAGACAATAACATAGTATGCTTTTGATATTATCCATTTTATTCTATTCATTGAAACATTTTCATTGCTAATATCGATTTTAAAAAAATTCAAATAGTAATAAAAGATCATCATATGATCATGATAAATATCAATTTTAGTCTATGAACAAGTGTAGCAAAAAATTTATTATATTTAAAATTTCTTTCAATATTATCTCAAAAATAATTCATTTCAACATATCTTAATAATATACAAATAAATCAATATCTATTACAATATTAAAATGATAAAAGCTGACTACATCTATTCTTGTATCCAAATATCCAATAATTATTCCGATCAATATAATTCTGATCAAATCGAGATTTCTTTTTGAACGAAAATTTTTGTACACAAATTTCCTTATAATTCATTTAAAGTGTACCTTACTCCCATATTTTAATATACTAACAAATTTATCTTAAATCAAATGTAAAAAAAATCTATCCAACAATCTTTTCAAACAACGAAAAAAAAACCAAGATTATTTGAAGTCTTTAAGTTCTATTAAATTAAAGATGACTGGTCATACCACCAGCAACAACAATTGTTTCACCAGTAATATACGATGCATCATCACTAGCAAGAAATGCTACTACATTAGCACATTCATCAGGTGTACCAACTCGACCTATTGGACATCCACTAAACGATACATCTTCAGATTCTTTGACACTATTATCATTATTCCATAATAATCGACTAAATTTTGTTTTAATAATTCCTGGAGCAATAGCATTGATCCGAATACCTCTTTCTATACATGGATTAACAAGTGCTTTTGTTAAACCAAGTAAAGCTGTTTTTGATACTGAATAAGCACCAATAGGATCGAATGGAGTATAACCAGTTATACTAGATATAATAATAATTGAACTATTTTTTTGTGCTTCAAGATATGGAATAGCTTCTTGAATAAGAAAAAAAGCAGATTTAACATTAATATCAAATATTTTATCCCATGCTGATTCTGTTGTCTAAATTAAATATAATTTTAAAATTAAATATAAATCAATTTCTTTTTTTTCTTCTATTTTACTTCTAAAATACTTCCAACTGTTGGACTTATTCCAGCATTAGATACTAATATATCTAATTTACCATATTTTTTAATTGTTTCATCTAATAAACGTTTTCGATCATCACTTTTGCTTACATGACAAACAGTTCCATATATATCGAATTTTTCTTTTTTTAATTCATCTACTGCTTTTTCAACATTTTCTTGTTTACGACTTGAAATAACAACACGTGCACCTTCACGAGCTAATCGACGAGCAATGGCAAAACCGATTCTTAATATATTAAATTAATTAAATAAATAAAACATTTTCAATTTTTCTTTTCATTTTCGATTTTAATCATCTTACCCATCAGTCGATCCTGTTACACAGGCAACTTTACCGGCTAAACGTGCCATTCTTAAATATGATTTCTTAAAATCTAAAAAGTTTATAATTATATTGTTTTTTTTTTTCAAAAAGACAATCTGAATATGATGAAATGATTTCATAAAAAATAAATAAATAACATCAAATAAATTTATATAAAGTATTATTTCAGATAATCAACAACCTTGAAATGAATGAGATTTTTCACCAAAGAAAAAAAAAATGTTCATCCAGATCTCAATGATATCAAAATACGATATTTTGGGAATAGGACAATTGAGAAAAACTAATGAGGAAACCTTCTCAGGTACTACTAAGCTTTCAATCTCATTTTCTGTGCATTAATTAGAGGATTACTAGATTACAAAAGTCCTAAGAGGCTATAGACACAAGTTGCTAGTCAACTGAAAGATCGAATTTTTTTCTGTAGGACTCCAATTTTTGAGTAAAATCATAGTTTCGACTTTCGACCGAAACACTTTACACAAGCGCAGGCATCAGTTAGACTAACTTATAGAGAAAGTTTCACAAATTTTGAACATCACAGCTTGAAAATATTTAGCTTTCGAAAATTTATGTTTTTTTTTTATGAAAAAATGCCTAAATTTTGAAAACTTAATATCTTGAAGATGCGATGTGCGAAATTTTTTTCTATAAATTTAGCCTAACTGATCCCTATGGTTGTGTAAAGTTTTTGGTCGACAGTTGAAACTATATTCAACTAACTAGCAATCTATGCTCATTTAGTCTTAGGATTTCCATAGCCTAATGATCTTCTAATTAATACAAAAAAAGTGAGGTAGAAAGCTTTTTAGCATCTCATAAGGTTTCCTCATTAGTGTTTCGATGTATACTTCTTTATTAAAAATGAAGACAAATGTTTAACACTTCTATCAATTGAGAACAAAGGGATATTGTTTGATTTCCATTCGATACAAAAGAAAATTGTCTTCTATCTCAATAAAAAAAAAAAAAAGAAATAAAACATGTGCTTCTAAAAAAAAGAAAATTGTATACCTGCACTACAAATATAAACATTAGGAGTTGATTACTGATTTTTCACATAGATCAAATAATGTTCAATTATTGAGTATTGAGTGAATAAAAAAAAAAGAAAACGATGAGAACATTATTATAATTGAAAATGGCATGCTTTTTAACAAAAACCTATCACATGTTCATTTTAACTTCATTTTTTTTTGATTTTAGTAAGTTCATGAAATATAACAACAAAGTCTATATGATTTGATTACTCAGATGACAGAAAATGCAATACTAAGAATAATAAGATTAAATAAAAAAAAAAAGAGCAGAAATAATTTGAAAACTCACTTCTATTACAATATATTGTCCATTCATACTAAATAACTTTTCGTATAAATCATTCAAATCATTTTTATTTGATTTATTTATTACAATATTTATATGAATAAGTTAACAATGAAACTATACAATATGATTTCATAATTATTTCAAATCAACCAGTTAATAAACAAAAAAAAACCCATATTTTATATTAAATTAAATAAATTGTTGATTTCAGCTTTCATCAAACAATATATTCTTACTACTCTAACATATGTAACTTTGACATTACAATAATTCATAGGATAATATTCGACATATTTTAATACATTTCACCTAATTCAAAACATTTGATCATTATTTTCAAAATTGTTTATTATTTTTGTTTTATCAAAATAACTTTTAATCATAAATATCTAATATTTATTAACAATAATTTGTTTTTATTAATTGTTATTTTATTATGATTTATCGTTTTATATATATATCTAAATAATGAAGTTAAAAATATTGTAGATGAATATCTTTTTCTTTTGTCAGCTAATTATTTCTTTTTTTAACTACGAAAAAGAATGATTCAGTGTGACATTTGTTGTTATAAATAGCTAACATCCAATACATAAATGCCAACAAAACATTATATATATTACGTTTTAGACACACCTTGCTACGTTGTAAAAGTGCTTTCGTTTCTCTTAAAATGATGTAATAAGAAATTCTCCAATCATATTGAATATATTATCCTCTATAGTCACTTGACTCCATTGAATATTTTCTGGAAGCGCACGAGCCTCGGTATATATATAAATAAAGTGGGATTTATATATATACAAATGAATTGATAATATTTTTCGTCGCAAAAAGTTTTAATATGTATGCATCAAATGAAGATGAATTTAATAATGAAGATAATGATTGGGTCTTTTTAAGACAAACATCACCACCAGAAAATCCTGTAAAAACATTTTAAAGTTGCTGATGAGTTTTGTATTTTATTCATTTTTATTTTCTATTAAAGATTCTTCATGGTGCTGTTAATCTTGTTGATCATGAACAATCAAATTTAAGTTTTTCATCAAATACTAGTAATAGTAGTTCATCGAAATCTGATCGAAGTGATTCTGTATCATCTCTTTCATCGATTGAGTGAATAATTTTGAATCTAAAACAAATTTATATTTTAACCTACTTATTTTAATATAGACATGAACATATACAAACCAATAATGATATTGATCAACAAGAAAATCATTTATTAATTGAAGATTCAATGTTAATCAATTCAAGTAATGATAATAGTAATAATAATGATGATGTATTATTAACCGGTGAAATTAAAGAAGAAATTTTATCATCTGAAATCATAATTGAACATGATAATGAAACAACTCCAATATTTAATGAATATGATTTAAAGTATTCGAAAAGTTAGATTGGTTTTTTTTTTCTTTCTATACGAATTTACATTTTAGTGATGAATCAATTCAATTATCAAATAATCTTCGGTAAGTTTATTCATATATGAATTTTTTGTATGAGATATTCAATTAATTTAGACAACATACCGGTGCTTATGTTCAACATACAGGTTTATAGTTTTTGAATTCTAGCAACAAAAAAAAATCAAATGTTGTTTTTCATTGAAATAGTTGAACAATCTTCATTAACAAATGAATATGAACTTGTACCTTATACAAGAAATTATTATCGTCCAAGACAAAATAAGAAATTCGTTGTTTATGGATTTTTAATTTTTATTATTGTTTTACAATTAATTCTTGGTCGAATTATTTTATCACGTATGATTGAAGAATTTTTTTTGTCAAAAATTTATTTTTTTTTGTTTTCTATAGAACGATTAATGATTAATAAACTTACTGAAGAATTAAATGATACAAATCAACATTTGAATAAAATAAAATCTATTTCAAATGAAAATATTGAACAAAAATTAACAAAAAAGGTCAAAAATAAAAAATATATTAAGAAATAATTTTTATTTTTTGTTTTTTAATTATTTTTTTTAGTTTGAAGAAAAATTTCAAATATTAATTAATCAAAAAATGATTGAATATAATAATGAAAAAAATTCATTAATTTTAAAAATTAATGAACTTCATCAAATAATAAATTTTACACAAGAAAATTTTACAAATATGATTCATCAAGTAAAAAAAGAAACAAATTAGATTTTACATTTTAATTTTATTTATAGTTATCAGATGAAAACGAACAATTACAACAACAAGTTATTGAATTAGAACATCATGTACAATTAATTGAAGAACAAAATTCAATCGAAAAAGAAACATGTCCTGAAGGAGTTGATGTAAGTAAAATATTAAATATATACTTTATATCAACATTAAAAGCTTTTTATTTCTTTTTTTTTTTTACAAATCTAGTGTACGAAATCATCATCTACATTATCTTTCGATGCATTACTTAATAATTTAATCAAACAAGCTACTTTAATAGCAGAAAATACTTCAACAAATTTATCGGATTTATTTCAAGATTTAAGTGCATCATTGAGTCATCTTGTTGATCATGGACATGAATATATAGAACAAAGTGAACAAATATTATCTGATATTATTGGTTCACAAGCAGCTGAACAAGTTCAAATGACATTACGTCGTGGTATTGAATTTGTTTCTTCATCATTTCGTGAAGCACAATCAACATATGCAACATGGATTCGATCACGTGCACAACATCGTGAAGAAGCTCGAATGAATAATGCTGAACAAGAAGAAAAACCAAAAGGCAATGGAAATCGATGGCGTTGGACATTTCAACGTAGTCATGATCGTGAACAAATGCGTCATCAACCATCAATAACAAAAAAACATTCATTAAATAAAGAACATTTTTGTCGTTCACGATATCCATTCCCGACTAAACATTTCTCATCAATGAAAGATTGGATGGCAAAATTTTTTGGATCATAAACATAAAAACGAAGCAACATTTAAAAACTGATTTGTAATATTGTTTATTTTTTTGCGTGCGTATGTGTGTTTTCTCATTTCGTATTATTGTCTAAAAACAAAAAAAAAAAACACCCAAGTGACACTTATGTACTAATCTCTTTTTGTTTTTCGGTGTTCCTCATGTAAATATAATTATTTGAAATTTAAACTTTTTATTTTTTTTCGTCTGTAAATACAAAAAGTGCCAGTGAGTATTTTATTTTTCCGAGTAAAATTATTTTCCTTTTTAAATATAAATATAAAAATAAAAATAAAACCAAGATTATTATTATTGTAACTTTTAGATGACTACTACTAGTGGAACAGATGTAGATGATGATGCATTTGATGCTGATGATGATCGATATGATACACTTGTATTACCATCTGATGTACAAAAAGTGATTGATCAAGTGAGATTATTATTTTTGTTTTTTTTTAGTATCATATTCGTTTGGTTACATGAAGAAAAGTCTATGGAGAGTCATTTGAGTTTGACAGCACAATTCCCACATGAGAGGTTTGATCCAGCAATCGGAAATGTAAAAAATGAACTTACGAAATATAAAGAATATCTATTCTGTTTTTATTCAATAGAATTGAAAATTTTTCACTATTAAAGAATGTTCTTTCTTAAGGATAGACAAGCTCAGTTTACTGACTCAATAAGGGATCCACAAGAAGTTAAATTTATCTCGTTTTACTTTAATGCTTTTTAAGCCAGTACGTAATGACTTTCATATTTTTCATCCTTTAGTCCTTTTGGATGTGGGGTGTATGGGCATGGTTCCTTCAACCACACGCACACTCAAACGGATTAAAGGGACCAAGATGATCAAAATATTCTTACAAGTTTAAAAGGTATGTAAACACAAAAATAAAACGGGATAAATTTGATTTCTCGTGGACCTATGGACTCAGTGTAGTTAGTGCATACTGGCACCGATGTTTACTGAAGCATCGAAACACACCGCTACAAAAAGACGCGTATTCTGATAGAGCTCACGTCTCAATGTTGCAGCAGATACATATGTCAGTATAATCAGTAAATCCTGTGTCGGGATTCACTGTGCATCTATATTCACTCCCTATCCGATAACGCAAAAAACCGTCTAGAATGCTTCCATTACATATTTGTTTGAACAACTATCACCGTATTATTTTTATTCATAATAAAATTCAACATTTTTTTGTTTTTGGTGTTTTCAATCAAAAACCATCACCGCGTTAAAGGATTTTAATTAGATAAATCAATTTTATAAGTTAGATATTTTATTTATTTATTTTTTTTTTGCGTATAGATATTACCAAGTACAGATGAAATAGATCGAGTTGATTTTAATCCAGTTGATTATATAAATCAATTATTTCCAACTGAACAATCTCTAGCAAATATTGATGAAGTTATTGGAAGTGTTAAATCAAAGATACGTTCATTGGATAGTGATATTCGTCTTACTATACGTGGTCATTCTGATACAGAAATTGATGAACATAAAGCATTAGAAGAAGCACAAAATTCAATATTATTATTATTTCAACAAATGCGTGAAATTAAAGATAAAGCTGATAAATCAGAAGAAATGGTAAAAATAAATTCATTGATTAAATTTTCTAAAACAAATTTCTTTAAATTCTTAGGTTAAAGAAATAACACGAGATATAAAACAACTTGATGTAGCAAAAAAGAATCTTACAACTTCAATAACAACACTTAATCATTTACAAATGTTAATTGAAGGAATTGATAAAATTGAGTAAATATAAAAAGAATGGTTTTTTTTTCTAGAAAATAAATTTTATTCTTTTGAATTTTTTGTTTCTAGAGTTGCTATAAAAAAGAAATCTTATGGTGATATAGCACATTTACTTCATCCTGTTATAAGTGTATTAGAACATTTTCAACCATATATAAACATTCCACAAATACAAGAATTATCTACAAAGTAAATAAATTGACTTTAGATATTTTTGATCATCAAAAAAAAAAAAAAGATACTTTAGTTCTTATCCAAACCAATGGTACCATTAACTAATATTCATGTCAGAATTAAAGAGAGGTCGATGTAACCTTAATAACTCGAAAATAGTAGCGGTTAACGATCAGTGATTTTCAGCAGTAGAAAGAGAAGATCTATGAACGTCTTTTTGTCCCATACTATATAAGACAAAATTATTTTAACATCTAACATATTTTGAAACGATGGGCAAAAATGATATTCCGTTTCGATGTAAGCTACTGATGAAGAAACTTCAGATCTATAGCTCAAGGCACGATTCAAGTGATTATATTCTCACATCTCAATGTTGAAAAAACGAAATCACGTACTCTATTCGGTCAAACTATATAAATTCTCCTGATTTGTAGCAGATTTTCTGACTTTTTATCAAAATTTTCTTGAAACGAAACACCGTCTTCATATATTCTCATGGATATTTTGAGGAGATGATGAATTTTAAAATAAAATTATTTCATAGAGTACCAGACAAAAAATGTTCAGATTTCGTCTTCTGGGATTTTTGAAAACTAAAGGTTGCTAACTCTTGCCATTGTCGAGTTATTGAGCTTACATCCACTCCTCTTTAATTCTGTGACAGCGTGAGGGTGAAGACATCAAAGAATGTCAAGATGAGATTGTCGTTAGCCTAGAGTAGACTCTACATTTTATTGACACATAATAATGTGAAATGAATGCTGAAAAAAGTCACTGATCAAAAAAATATATGATCATCTAATAAATTTCTTTATACAAAAAAAAAATTTATTTTATTTAGTGTTAAAGAATTAACTGCTCAAATAATTGTACAAGTTCGAAAAGAATGTGAAGATGCATTTAATGGTCCAAATGCAAAAGTTAGTTATTCAAGATTTCTTTTTAATAAATTAAACTTTTTTTTTTTTATTTTTTATTATAGAATTTTACTCCAAATCAACATTTTTCAGATGTATGTAAAATAATTGATGTTATTGATCCTAGATTAAGGTTTGTTATTTAAATATTTGATTGTTAACACGCAATGTTTTATTTTATTCTTTTTAGATTAGAAGTAATAAATTGGTTTTTAAAAACACATCTATCTGAATATACAATATTATTTCAAGAATCTCAAGAAGTAATTATAAAACATAAAATAAAATAATTGTTTTTGTTTTTCTTTGTTTGTTTGTTTTAGTTAGCATGGTTAGATAAAATTGATCGTCGATATGCTTGGTTAAAACGTGCACTTGTTGAATATGATGAAAAATATTCACGAATATTTCCTGTTCATTGGGAAATGGCTGAACGTTTAACAGTTGAATTTTGTAGAATAACAAGGTTAGTTCGATCTTTTTTTTTTTGTATTTTAAAATATAAAACTAAAAATTTGTTTCTTAAATTTTAGACGTGAATTAGCAAATATAATGCTTAAACGTAAAAATGAAATTGATGTTAAATTATTACGATTTGCTATTGAGAAAACTGTGGGATTTGAAACCATTGTTGAAAAACGTTTTCAAGGAAATACACTTGATCATGCAAATAATTCAATAACTAGTCATCTTAATGGTAAATTTTATATCAATATTTCTATATAAATAGTAATGACTAGATCTCAAATTTATACTATTGACAGAGAATAACTGGATCATTTTTGTATTTGAGATTGTAAAAATTTATAATTTTCTTGATTTAGTTCTGCAATAAACTTTTTAAACCTAAATTTTCGTTTTAGAAAATACAATTTTTTTCAAAATCATTACCATTTGTCCGCTAGAAGAATATTTCTCCAAAACTACAGACGAAAAAAACCAATTGAAAAGAGTGAAGAAGCATAGAGCAGAAAATTTTATATTGATCCATATCAAATACTTTACTATGAGTTTTCTAACGAGAACAAAAAAAGTAGTTAAGAAGCAAAATCAACAATTTTATAGAGCATTCAGTTCTCTATTAAATATGCTTAGAACGAATTCTCAAAGTTTATTAGAAGTGTTACCAACAAAATTGACCTGTTTATTCTGCATAACTCATTAGCCGAAGATATAGTGACATTTGACTAGAAAACAGAAAGTTTATTTCATATGTAGTTATATGAACGAAATGAATTATTGGATTCTATATCGATCATTATAAACTTCTGATTGTTAGTAAAAGAATACATTAATAATGAAAGTATCAAAATTAATAAGAGGATCTCGTTTATACTACACGAACGTTCTTTTTTTCATGATTGAAAATGAACTATGCCAACATTCATTTTGAATATTAGTGATAATTAGATCTAATTCATATTCTATATGAAATCCTATTGAAAGAAAAAAAACAAACTGATGTATCGTTTATTATTGATTCAAGATTATGCAATATAAATATTTGTTTTTATAGTTAAAGTAATAAATACCAATGGAAATGATGATTTAAATTTAACAACAAATCTTAAACCAAAATCATCACCATTTCCAGGAATAATATCTCAATGTTTTGAAGATCATTTAGATATTTACATAGCTGAATTAGATCGGTAAATAAAAAGTTCATTCATGTTTCTTTTCTCTTTCGCTTTTTGATCTACATATAATTCTTTGTTTATAGAAGTTTGAGTGATCAAATTCAAAAATTTGTTGATGAACATAAAAAAGATGGTTATCCGAAATTTGAAGGTGGTGAAGATACAAGTAATGTTTTACCAACAAGTGCAGATTTATTTGTTTATTTTCGTAATTGTCTTGTACAATGTTCAAAATTAAGTACTGGACAACCATTATTATTACTTGTTCAAACATTTCAAAAACATCTTCGAGAATATGCTAATCGAATATTAACAGCTAATTTACCGAAGTAAAAAAAATGTTGTTTTTTTTTTTTCTATGTTAAAAATTCATTTTGTTTTTCTTTTTTCTTTCAAAAAAACAAAAAGAACAAATACAACAGCATCATCTTTAGTTGGTACAGCAACAATATTTATACAAAATTTACCAAATATTCCATCAATGTTAAAAGAAGGTGAAACAATAGCTAAATTAAATGAATCAGAAATATGCCGATCATGTAGTGTTCTATGTACGGCTGAATATTGTGTTGAAACAATACAACAAGTAAAAAAAAAAAAAGACAATAATTTGAATTTCAAAAAGAACAAAACAATTAAGTAAATGTTCTTTTGTTTTGATATTTTAGTTAGAAGATAAAATGAAAGAAAAAATAACAAAATCATTAATTGATAAAATTTCATTTGAATCAGAAAGAAATATTTTTAAAGCGTATGTTTATTTTACAAAAAGAGTAAAATTATAAATTTATTTTCATATTATTCTTTTTTTTTATAGAATTATTGCTGAATCTATTCAAATACTTATTCAAGATCTTGAGAATGCTTGTGAACCAGCATTAACAGCAATGACTAAGGTTAGTTTGAGTAATACTAAAGTACATTCTATATCAAATCTTATCCTTCAATAATTTCAAATTTCGCATCATATGACAGAAACAGAGTTGTTGATATTTTTTCGAGATGTGAGGAGATAAAAATTTGGCACACAGTGCTTTCATTCTCGGAGTGCTCAAAAGTGATGACTGGAAGACGGAGGAAGAACGAAACCCATCATGACCTATCAGCTAGATTTTTAGGTTTAGTGTTCAATACTTCATATGAGAAAAGTAGAACTTTAATACGCTATCGGAGATCCTGGTTTTGATAATCAAGTTATCTTTTGACTGGACTACAACGTTTAACTTAGCATAGTTTCTTATCTTTCAAGATTTTTTTTTTTCATAAGCGATAACAAAATTATTTCTTGTATAATTTTTTTATAGTTATCTTGGCAAACTATTGAAACTGTTGGTGATCAATCGTTATATGTAACAACAATTATTAATCATTTAAAAACAATTGTTCCTATTATACGTAATCATTTGGGATCATCAAGAAAATATTTTATACAATTTTGTACAACATTTGTTGAGTTAGTTTCGTTTTGAATATAACTTTAAACATATATATATGAAAAAATTTTTTTTAGTTCGTTTATTAAAAAATTTATCAATCATTTATATCGTTGTAAACCAATAAATATGATTGGTGCTGAACAACTTTTACTTGATACACATTCATTAAAAACAGTTCTTCTTGATTTACCATCGATTAATTTAACTGTTTCACGAAAACCACCACAAAAGTAAATTTATTATTTCCACTTTAATGTATTTTCTCTTAACACATTTATTTTGTTTGTTTTTTTTTAGTTTTACAAAAATTGTTCTAAAAAATATGACACGTGCTGAAATGATCTTAAAAGTTGTTCTTACGCCGCATGATTCTCCTAGACAATTTGTTAAAAATTATTTACAATTAATGAATAATGATGGAGATATAAGTTCTTTTCAAAAAATACTTGAAATGAAAGGTATTCGAAGACCTGAACAAGCTCATTTAATAGAACGTCTTAAAAAAGAACATGCAGCAATAATTGCTAGTCATCAACAGCAAATACAACAACAGTGATTGTTTGTTTGTTTGTTTTTCTTCGTTTGTCTAAATGTTCCTTTATTTTTAATGTAACTTTTATTGGTTTGTTTAACAAGAAGATGCGTTTAATTTAGTTGTAGAATTTTCATCGAAATATTAATTCGATTATTTGTTCCAGATCATAGCAGGTGAAAAGAAAAATGTTTCCAAATAAATAAATTTGTAATCAATTTAACAAAAAATTTAATTTATAATTGAGTATTAATTTTAACAAGTAGATTTATTTAATCGAGTGATGAAGAAACTTGTATAGTGGATGCAAGTTATACATTCAATCTGAAAATGATCATCGATGTATTTGTTAATTCGATGGTAATCGATAGAGATTTGGTAGGAGTTAGTATATATCTAAAATTATTTCAAAACTAATGACAATATGTTCGACTATAAGTTGTTCTTGAAGATAATCAGCATCTGTAGGTACATGAGTTGTCTTAATTTAATTTCAACTAGTATGTAAAAGAAAGATTAGACAGTACGACAAACTGATGGTCAAGAACGAGAATTATAATAAGATTTCCTCAAGTCTCGAACAATACAATTGGTATACATTCGATTCTCTAAGATATAAGAAATAATGAGATAATGATAAAAAAATCAAAAACTGTCACACTACAAATATAGGAAGACATCTGTTTTTAGCAACCAAACAAAACTGAAAAACAGTCCAGAGCCAAACTGATTGAATTTGCGTGTTTCGATTGACTCTAGCAGTAATCTAACAATGTTGCAAAAATCTCTTTTTTGACATTCTCTAGTATCATTAGGCAAAAATGACTCAAACAGTTTGGGTGCATGCCTAGTTGTAATGAAAAATGTCGAGTATTACAAAGAGAATGTATGAAGATATCAAGAAACTTTTCGAAGATAGTAAAACGTTTTACAAATCTCCTACACTCTGTTTACTGCTAGAGTCCAAGTAATCCTCAATAATCTAGAGAACTTTTGGATCTTTTCATAACTCTCTCAACTCTTACATTCTCAACATGATGTTAACCTTAGTGCATATAACTATATGAAAGTTGATACAATTTGCTAGCGACCTCTTTCGATAAACTAACTAACTATTGTATTGCATATCTATTCACTTGATTCATAGATATGACAACGAATTGATTAAATTTGTTTAGTGGTCACAACTGTATTTTAATTTTAGACTGAACATATTTAGCGATAGTACTAACAAAAGAAAAATGGCTCAAGTACTTGATGCCATATATGAATAAATCAGTAAATATAATTATATCTGCTGGACGAATTATAATTGAAATATTACGTGGCTTTGATCACACTATAAATATAATATTAGATGATAGGTTATGAAGGTGTAGAACAAATTTTTCTTGGTCTTTTATATAATACGTGGTGATATTGATGAAGAACTCGATAAAAATATTGATTTTTCGAGAATTCGTGCTGATCCATTACAAATAGTTGAAACATAATTTTTCTTTTCAGTATATTTTGATTATTATTATTTGTTATTGTCAGATGAGTGACTATCTATATGAAATCTAAACATTTTGTTTTCTTAATTCTCTTCATATGATTGAAGAGAACATATAAGAGAATCTCGCATTTGATTTTTCAATAGGAGAAAGAAAAAGTTTTTTTCTCTTACAACTAATAAAATTTAGAATTAAAAAAACAATTTTGATTTTGTAGATGTTATTAAATAAAACACAAAAAATTCTAATTAGTATTATTATATTTCGTTTAATTTCTTGGTTTATTGTACGGACATATTTTATTGCTGATGAATATTGGCAAACATTTGAAATAGCACATTCACTTGCTTTTGGTTATGGTTATAAAACATGGGAATGGAAATCAAATATTGCTATAAGAAGTTATCTTTATCCATTTATTATTTCATTAATCTATCGATTTTTAGCTCTATTTCATCTTGATACTGCATCAATATTAATTAATTCAGCAACATTATTTCAAACATTATTGGCTATTATTGGTGATTTAGTTTATTTAAAATTTCTTCAAGGTCATAAATTAATATTTTTAATTCTTTTATGTCGATTTTCATGTTGGTATACAATGTATTCATCACCAAGATTAATTATTAATAATTTAGAAGAAATACTTTTTATATGTAGTCTTGCTGTTGCTAAAAAGTAAGAGAATTTCTTATCGATTGTAGTAATATTTATCAATTTTAAAATCATATTTTTGTATTTTGATACTATATATAAAATTCTTTCAATCGAATCAAAAGATGTAGAAATTTTTACAAAAAAGAAAAAAAGGTCATCACACATATTTTATGCTGATTAGATATCTTATAAATTGAATAAATATTCAGAGGTAATATCATTGATTTTAATATTAACATAATTTTTGCAACCTATGACTATCCAGTTGCAATTACTTTTTGGCTGCGCAAGATGATCTTTTCATTTTTTTTTTCATCAGATGTAAATCAACATACGTTGATATGATTTGATGTTACTAGTTATTAATACAAAAAAGACGAGATGTTAAACCAAGCATTATTGCTATTGTCTAATATTGTTTTTTTTTTCTTTAAAATATCCAAGACTAGTCGATCCCCTTTTCCTAGATGTTTCACGATTGTTAATCAAAACGCATACACATAGCATCATTTTTTTCTCATTCTTCACGTGAATAATAGAACATATGTTGCTCACATTAGAGAGATTGTTATTGTTCATGGGACTAGAACTAAGCACCCGCTGTTCAGAATAGAGAGAGGTTCATTGATAGCAAAATTCGCTTAGAAGGACCAGGGTTGTCAATATCTTCTCTAGGATTTTATCTTATGAGTGGTATCTATATCTTTCAAATCATATTAATATATATCCTATAAATTTTGCTATGAAAAGTATATTTCAGAATTTCAATTAATATGTTCTTGTTTTTCTTTTTTTTAATTTTCTATATAGTTATCGATCATCATCTAATATTCTCTTTCATTTATTTGTTTCATTATCATTTATTATTCGTCCAACATCAGCTATTCCATTTGTTATTATTTATCCATATTTATTATATAAAACTTCAAATCGTTTAAAATTTCTTTTTCAAGCATTTATATGTTTTATTCTATTAAATATATTTAATATACTCTTAGATAGTTATATGTATAATCAATGGACATTTGTACCATTAAATTTTTTATATATAAATTTTTTTCATCCAAATTCAATATCATCACATTATGGTATAAATAATATTTTATGGTATTTAACAAATGGTCTTCCAATGATATTTTTTTATCGTTTACCATTTATTTTTTTTGGTTCTATATCAAATAAACGTTTAACAATAATAATTTTATTTACAATATTAATTTATACATTAAATAAACATAAAGAATTTCGATTTTTAACACAAATTTTACCAATATTATTTATATTAGAAGCACATGGAATTGATTGGTGTTTAAAAAAATTTAAATTAAATAAATTTCGTTGGATTATATTTATTTCATTTATTGGACATTTATTTATTGGATTTTATTTTTCATTAATTGATCGTCAAGGACAAATATCAGTTATGTATTATTTACGAAAAAATTTAATTAATAATAATAATAATAAAGAAATTTTTTCAATTGATTTTCTTATGCCATGTCATTCAACACCATATTATAATTTTATTCATCGAAATGATATTCAATTAAATTTTTTAACATGTGAACCAAATTTAGATAATATAACAAATGATTATATTGATGAAGCTGATCAATTTTTTTTAAAACCAATTGAATCATTAAAAAATCGATTAAATAATTATAATTCTAGTCATTTAATTATGTTTGATTTATTATATAATCAAGTAAAAGATGTATTAGAAGAAGAACAATGGTTTTTTGTGAAAGATATTTTATTTAATTCACATATTCAACATACATCAAGACATGGAAAAATGATTTATATTCTTGAAAGAAGATAAAACAAAAAAGAAGAGATTATCTTACAAATAATTAGATTTATGAAATTTATTATTATGAATTCAGGGGGAGATGGGAATCTCAATATTAGTTTTGGGAGGGGGAGGGAAGGGAAATTATATATTACAAAAAAAAATTTATTCAAATGTAATAAACAAATGTAGACATTAAAAAAAAACATATAAATGAAATGGTATTAGTAAAATCTAAAAGTCAAACAGGATAATTTTATTTTAAATCAAAAGAATTTGGCTTATTTAGAAACCAATCAAATGATTCTATTTATATGTGATGTGACAAGAAAGGATAAATGTTTTTATTCTAACTAGTCTTTGTTATTACAAGCCGCTAATGGCAGAGAGTAATCTAATTTTCACATTTTAAAATTCAGCGCTTATTAATTATGATAGTGTGAAAATTTTTTTCTTGTGTAACTTTAGAGTTTTGCAAAGATTTGTCAATACTAATTGAAATTGAAGTTTAAAAGAAATCCAGAAGGATTATACATATTAAACTTGTAGTCTATTTATTGTTATTAATTTTAGTATTTTAATGAATTCTAGAAGATTGAAAACTATGATAATAAAGATCATAGAAATGTCAATATAAATGATTTTTTAAGTATCGATTATATATTGATTGCTATTTCTTTATATAATAATATATCTTGTATTTTATTTTGTATGTTTAATAAAAATTTTCAGAACTTACTCAACATTTATTTTTATTGTAACATTCAAGATTTTTTCAATAATAATACATGAAAAGGCTAATTCTAATATATACTTTGTTCAAATAGAAATAATATTTTATTAGCAATCAGTATGAATAAAAATGCTATTGTTTTGTCTTTTTTTTTTTTTGTAATCATAAGTTAATTATTATTCTTGAGATAATAATAGAAGATAGATTTACATTAGAGAAAGAGTAACATAGTTCGTAAATAAATATAATTGATTTAATTATGAGCTACTTCATCAACAACAATATTTAAAGCTAATATGAATGATACATCTTGACCTTGTTCTATTGTAAATTCACGTAAAACAAAATCATCTTCGATTTTAACATCATCATATTTTGATTTAATTTTAAATTTTTTACTACCAAGAAGATTTATTTTACGCTTAAAATCAATATATTACATTTAACAAATTTTTTTTAAATATAAACTTACTTTATATCAGTTACAACTTCATTATTCTCACGAATTTCAAATTTAACTAAACCAGAGTGGATTAAGAACATGTTTACCAATAACTATTTTTCTTTAAAATTAAACCTGATAAACAAACTAGATAAAAATTTTATTTTATGAATAGATTAATTTTAATCATCTTTAACTGTATGCGATAAACAAAGTGTGAGAACTTTTTATTAAAGTTCATATTTAGTTGCATTTTGTTTGATACAAAAAATCCAGGAGACATTAATAAATAATATTAACTATAAGGTAAGTAACTGTAAAAGAAGGCGAACCATGATAGAATAATATGTCGCAAAGATCTATATATACGATGTTCACAATATTAATTGTTACCCGGTAAAATAAATGAATAAATTTCGACTGGTAAAATGAATACTAATATAAATTTTATCTATTTCGACTTTTAGTTTCTCGTTGAAAACGAAACGAGAAAGAATTTATTTTATCTATTGTTTATATTTTAAGTCACCATTCTTCAAGTTAAATCTTCCCTATTATTTATTATTATGGTCCCTGGCCGTTCAATATTTGATTGAATTATATTAAATTTAAATGTAAAAAGTCTTGACAACGATCATGCTCAACTAGGCTGAGATGTATGAATTATCAGAATAAGAAGATAACAATTCATAGAGTAAAATCTCTCTAGTGTAGGCACCATTGGAACCTGCTAAAAATGCTCATTTATGGAAAGTTTTCAGTTTCTTCTTTCATAATCTATGAATGTTCGGTTGAAATTATTTTTCGGCTACCCACGGTAATCTTTCTTCTTTCCAACAATTTATTAATTGAAATTTTTTAATCAAAATAATTTCTATTACTATCTATATACATCGGAAATTATCAACAAAATCGAAAGATATCATAAATACATTTATTTAGTTGTTCAATCAAATAGACGAATGACTTCAATATATCAACCAAGATATCATTCTGTTCATGATCAGATAGCTTACAGTTAATAAATGCATAATGTCAAATTTTTTGAATTTCAATAACAAAAGAATAATTTCATTCATTAAAATGTGCACAAGAAATAAAAGAATTTATTTTCTATCAATCTCAAACTAATACTATATATATGTTCATAGCGAATAGTAAAAATAAATATATAAAACAAACAAAAAAAAAGAAAAAGAAAATCTATTTATGATCAGCTAATTTGTGTATCCATTTTTTGACAAGCCAACGCATTCGAATTATAGCAATAACCACTCGAACATAACATCGAAAACGAAATCGATAATCAAGATAACGTCGATGATATGGTTGTTTACGAATAAATTTCATTCTATCATAATTATTTGAATGAGAATAAGAATTTGATCTTGTATCACCAGTTAAACGTCGAATTTCATTTAATGCATAAGTTTCTGTATCTTCATAACCAGTTAATAAAACAATTAAATAACGTTTTTGATATATTAAAGCTTTTCGATAATTTTCACAACGTATATATTTAAAATAAAATTTATTTGATGATGGTAGATTTTTTATTTGTTTTAATTGTTCAAATTTATTTTTTAAATAATTTAATTGTTGTTTTGTTTGTTCAAGTTCATTAATTAATGAAAAATGATCTTCAGAAAAAAGTTTTCCTAATGCATCACGTTGATAATTGCACATATCATGAATTTCTTGTTCAAGTTGAATAGAATTTGGATGTTGACGTATTTGTATTAAACGACGTTCTTGTTCACAACGAAATATATCAGCAAGACATTTTATTAATTTATTACCTGTTTCTTTTGCATTTATATTAGCAATAAGTGAACGAAGAAATGAATTTTCTTCATGTAATTTTTGTAATGAATGTATAGAATCTTCTGTTCCACTAATATTTATACCATTTAATCGTAATGAAAGAAGTTCACTTAATGATAATACATGTACACCTAACAAAAAAATGAAATGACATAAATTTTTATATTGATTAAAATATTCGTATATATACACATTTATAGTACCACCATCTGTATTGTATAGAAACATTGAAGAGTTTCGTTTTTTAGACTCTCTCGACTTTGTTCGAAAGTAAAAAATGTCGAAAATCTAAGGTCTCTATGATCACGAATCTTGCTTTCAATTTTACTGCTATGAATTGTATGACCAAAATTGAGTTTACCTAATTTTAACTAGTAGCTTATTTTGTTTGTTAAAGTAAGAAGTAATGTTCAGTTGGATAGATTTTTTTTTTCTTTACTAATATGAAAATTTGTAAATATGATATTTAGTGCGTGCTTGAACTCATCTTTTAAACAAAACCAGAATAATGTTATGAAAAATTTTGGTGATTAGTCTAAATTATAATATTTTAACTAGATTCATGTTTTTTTTAGTATTTGTTAACGTCTGAAATGAAATCTTTGACAATCTTGAAATATTGAATGTATACAATTGACTACTTCCAAGAAAATTTTATAAAAGCAAAAATTATTGTGAATTTAACATTTTAAAAAGAATGTATTTATGTTATCTGAAAATTTCATAACATACTGCTCGGATTTAAGATTTCGACAAGAACAATATTTTATATTGAAAATTATTTATTTTCATTGTATAGTTAAAGTGATTTTCTTAATCTTCTACTTGTACTTAAAAGATATCTACAAAGATTTTCTTCTATACTGAAACAAAACACAATAATATTCTGATTTTGTTGTCGAAAAATTATTTGTATCTATCAAATAAATGATAATATGGTTTTCTCTTTATTTTTACATAATAGAAAAGTAAAAACTACAGTTTCTTGAGTGCATTTTTAATGTATCATTATATGACTATGATGATAATGTACAAATATATATATATGTATCTTTTGAAAGGTTTCATCATTCTTATTTGTCTATTTATGCATAGTTTAGTTTATTAGAACTACATATTTCATTATGCAATCAAAATTCGAGAATTAATAATTTATTAAATATAAATTTATTTTCATGAAATTTTCTTTTACCTTCAGTATGTAATTTATTGATAAGTCGTTTAAGTTCTTCACTATCAGTTGATTGTTGTAATAAGAATTGTCGACGTTCATCTTCATTACGATCAAATTCTTGAGCAAGACGTACTTGTTCACGAACTTTTTCACCAATACTATGATCAAGACCAAGACTACTAGAACTTAAATTATGTAATTGTTGTTGTTGTTGTTGTTCAAATAAACGAGCTCGATATTCAGCAAATTGAGATTCATATTCACGTTTCAATTGTATTTTTATTTCTAAATAAAAAAAAAAAAAAAAGAAAATTTTTGTTTATCTTATTTAATTTTATGCATTCTACAAAATCATTTACCTGTTATTTTCTCTTTAAGTTCATGTTCATAATGAAGACGTATACGTTCTAGTTCAACTTCATGTTCAAATTGTAAGGTTTCACAACGTAATTTCCAATCTATTGGTGTTGTTCGTGGTGATATAGACATATTTTTTGTTGCTGTTTCAAATTGAGGCATTTGTTGTTGTCGACATGGTGAAGTCATTTGAGAAAAGAATTTTTTTCTAATGTAAAATGAAAAGAAATTATTGGTTGCCTTGACATTTCATGTTGGCTCATCATGGTGTACACCTACTTTTGTTCTATTAAAATTTAATGTGGTTTTTTTTATCCTATTTTCTTTTCTCAGTTGTGTGCTTGCGTTCTTTCAACCAGTAAGTACGACAATCAAATATATATATGTTCTTTTGAGTAATCATTCGTTTTTCTTTTTCTTTTTTTTTTTTTCTTTTTCTCTTTTACCTGATTGTTTAACTGTTTCTTTCTTGTTCTTTCTGTTGCTGAGAAGATTCTGCATAACAACAAAAGACAAAATAAAAGGAATTCATTCTAGTTGCCAGATTTGAGACAATGTAAAAGAGTATAAATTTAATAAGGAAAAAAAAAAAGTGATTGACAAGCAAAAAAAAAAGCATATACTCGTTTTAACTCCTATTATAATGTTTGCATGTTCAATTCTAAACGAAGAAACAGTGTTATAATTTCCAGTTGCCTTTTAATAATGACATTTTTTTCTAATAAATGTCGACAAAACGTCAATAATAATAACCAAGATGGAAACGAAACGTTCAACAACTCGTATGCTTCAACGTGTTGTAAATTTAACAAAACATGTTCATGATTTTCGATCATCTGTAAATGTAACAATTCCATCTTGGTATAATTATTCATATGCAAGTGTAGATTTTGATCAAGTTCATGGAGTAAGTCCTATTACTATCAATCAAAATTTACAAACATCACCATATATTCCTGGTCCTTATCGAAAATTTGATTTTTCACGTGCACAAAAACTTCTTCAATTTGAATTTAATCGTCGATGTGCTGCTATATCAAAATTAATTCGATATGATACAAAATTATGTCGAGAACTTGTTCAAGATTTATCACAACAATTACGTCGTATGACTAAACCTGATATATTAAATAGCACTCGATATAAAATTATTGTACTTGTTACTATTGTACAAACAATACCGGATCGACAACAACATCAATCATTGACTATTGTATCAAGATGTTTATGGAATCATGAAACTGATGGATCAGTAACTCTACAAGCACCATTAGGATATGATATGCTTGCTATTGCAACTGTTTTTGCAGTTTATACAGACTAACATTAAAAAAAAAGTTTTTTTTTTTTTCTTATTAAAAACAAAAAATAAGAATATTAAATATAAATTTTAATAAAATCTTGACAAGAACAGAGCTCTCGATTAAGGAGGTCTTCTTGTCTCCTTTTCTCAAAAAAAAAAAATGCTTGACTTGCTCCTTTGGGCAAAAACTGGACTTTGAAACACTATTTGCCTTTCACTAATAGTAAATCAAATAGAAATAAGCAGGCCCTAGAGGAAGAACGGTCTGATAGCAGATCGACTATTGTGAGAGGAACCAGGTTACGGTGAATTTCGCTCTTGCCTCCGCTCCCTCTCGATCATCACTTCTAGTACTCCAAGAATGAAAGCACTTTCTGCCGAAGTTTTTGTCCTTCACACCCCTAAAACATATCGACAACCTTCGATAAGAATATTATTCAATTCGACAATTTTAAATATTAATTAGTAGAAAAAACAACCTAGACATAATATGAAAAACACATGATATCACAATACATATGAAATCAATTTCGTATAAATCATTTTTTATATGAATAACGAAATTTTTCATTTTTCTGCGTTGTTAATCAATAACGAATGACGTACAGTTTTTCTCATTGACATATACAATAATGTTGATCGTATATAAATCATATTAAAATTAAGATCCAATACAAATATTTTTTTTTCTCATCCTGAGTCGAATCTGATTCATGATCAGTTATAGAATGTATCATATAAATATACTTTTTTTTTTTTTTTATTCTTTTATCGAGATTGTATTTTCAATTTATTTTTATATCAATGTAAGCCTATTTTATTGATCAGATAGAATAAAAAAAAAAAGAAATAGTCATCCCCTTTTTTAGATGCTTGTAATTGACAAATATCTTTAGTCTTTATATACTTCAGTCTTTTATTTCTTACTCTCTTTCGTTTTTTTTTTTTCACAGAATACAACGAACATCTGGTGCAATCGTTACAACGTGTCATTGGTATCGGCTGCAAAGAATAAAAATAACGGAGCAAAAAAAGGCCAAGTAATAGCAATAAAAAATACTATTATTTAGACGATTTTGATCTGTATACTAAACAATGGGTGATACTGATGATATCAATGAAATCTTTCGAATAGTCGATTCAGATGGAAGTGGTTATCTTGATAAAGAAAAACTTCAACGTATATGTCCACATTTATCTTCATCTGAAATTGACATTATATTTAATGATCTTGATACTGATCATGATAATCGTATAAGTTTAAAAGAATTTACAAATGGTTTTAAAGAACTTATTAAACCAAATGATAATGAACGTTTATTACGTAAAAAAAAATTAATTAATTATGAAAATGTTATTGATAAAGATGAAGATGATTTAACAACAGAAGTAGCACAAACACAAATCAATGAAGTATTCAATAATCTATCATGGTATGAAAAAAAAAAACCCTAATCATTTTAAGACGATTTATTGACAAATACGATTATAAATAGAACATTTTTTTTATACAAAGAAACTTTCTCATGAAGATAAGTCGTGATTAAAGTGTATATTGACATATTTACATAACAGAATATGCAAAAAAAAAAAATTGTTCTTCATACACTATTACAGAGTAGAATTAACACTTGTGTAATATATATTAGTAATCGTTTTTTCGTTTCTTGTGCTTCAAACTATAATTAACATTAAATTATGTTCACCTGAGCGAAAATAAAAAAAGCCGAATAAAGCCGACTAGTTAATAGAGTATCGAATTGTTTGCATAAACGCTATTGTGTACGGAATTATGTATATATTCACTGTAACACAAGAAGAAGAAGAAGAAGAAGAAGAGGAAGACAGAAGGAGGAGAAAAAGAAGAAGAAGAAGGAGAAAAATCAGTAGACAGAAAAAATAATCGTAACGACAACGACACAGACAAACGAGTTGTGTTTTATTCCCATCAAATTACAAATTTTGCTTTTTTTTAAAATATTAACAATTTCGATTGATTAAAAATTGTATGATGGATTTAATCGATACTAACGGTTTGACTCAAAATATTTTTTCCAAGTAAGTAAAGAAATGTATGTTTTTCTCAATTGAATAGATTCTCTAAAGTAAAACAAGAAAAAAATAAGGCACCATTTGGTCGTAGTCATAAGAAGAGAGGACAAATAATTGTTCGAAATTTCGAACAAAATCAGTTAAATAGATAATCAACAAATTTGACATATGTTTTAAATAGACTTTTCAAAAGAAAAAACATGACTTCAGACGATGAGATTAGTAAACAAAAGATATTATCATTAAATACATTTCTTCAACAAAGAAATTTATCTATTCAAATGATTAATAATTTTGATTTGTGAGTTGTAATTTATCGAAAATAAATCGAATTTATTTCAATTTTTTTTTATTTAGTCAAGAACAAATTTATGATTTTTATGAAACATTACGAAGTGGATCAAGTGAATCCATAGAACAGTTTCAATCAATTCTTGAAGTATTTGTTTGTGATATAATCAAATATCGTAAAGAAATTAGACGATTAGAAGATTCTTATAGACGGTAATTAATCAAATTAAAATATTTTCTAATTATATCTTTTATATAAATATATATAGAGAAAAAGAAATGAATGAAAAATATTTAAGACGTATTGAAGAAGATCAAGAACGTGATATGCATCAATTAGAAGTAAAAGTTCGTAAAGAAGTAAGAATTTTTATATAATCTTCGAATACAAAAAAAAAAAAAAAATTTCTTCTCAATAGGAAAAACAAAAGTTTGAATCTGAACGAGAATTAATTCAACAACGTGCAAGCAAAAAATTAACTGAGCTACAAGGAAATCTTCAACGTTTACAAGCTGTATGTTCTTTTTTTTTTGTGTTTTTGTTTTGTCTCCTTAAGAAAAAAAAAACAATATTTGTTTTTTGATTTATTTAGATTGAACAATGTTATATTGATCGTCAATCAAGTGAAGATTCATCAATTGTTTTATTACGTGAAGAAATTTCTAAATTAACACAAGAAAATCAAACACTTAATTCATCATTAAATGATTCATTAACTACAGTTGCAATATTAAGAAGTGATTTACAATCATTGAAAACTCAATTAAATGAACATCAAACAATGCTTTTACAGTATGAAAATATTCTCTCACAGATAAATAAAAAAAAGAACAAAGTTAAAGAAATCAAACTACGTATATTGCTGATATTAGATCACCAATAGTGAACAATAAAAATGAAGAAAATCGTTCAATTTCGCTGGGAGAAAAAGCAGAAATTTTTCAAAACTGGAGATCATCCTCCACTCGAGACGCTCCTACGCACGTCCTCTAAGTACATCAAAATACTTTACAAATATCGATTTGATTTCTTTGAATTTATTTTTACAATTTTTTTAATATAGGCAAAAATGAATTTTGCAGTAAAGTTGGAAATGCCACAATAATAACAAAAAGAATGAGATTAGAAGCAATAGCATATGAGTCAAAGTGTACATTAAGTATAACCAGTAGATTAATATTTAACTACAATCGAATAAAACAGAAAAGTTATGATAAGTCACACTTGATCATTCTACATAGACATGAAAATAGGAATATCAAACACATATACCTATTTTTCGGAAAGTGCTTAAGGGGACCCCCCCCCCTTTCCGGCGTTTTTAAGAAACGGCCGAACGAAAATTCCTGAAACTTGTAGGGTAGATAGACCTCGAGTAGTAGAGCAAAAGTTGTCATAGATACAAATTTGCCAGACGTCATCTTCATGGACTTCCAGAGACCCCAAGGTCAAAAACTTGCAAAAAGTTTTCCCCCCCGTAAATCCACAGATTTCATCCGTTTGAGCTGAAATTTTTACTGTGGGTAGACGGACCCAATCGGGGTGGGCTTTTTTTTTTTTCAAAAATTCCAAATACTTCAGGCTGGAGAACCAAAATACTGAGCAGTTTACAAAATCTCTAGGTTTTTTGGATCCTAAAAATTTTGCGAAGCCTGCCAAACTTGATTGGTAGAAGGTATCCAAAAAAAAAAAACGCCCAACCCAAATCACTTGAAGTCTCACCAAAACAATTTTCAGCCCGATCGGACTTGAAATGGCGAAGAAAAAGGGGGAAAACTTCATTTTTCTGCTGAAAAAACTGATCTTGAGAAAAACGCAAAGAAATTTGTGTTTTTTGGTTTTTTCAGCATATTTTGTGATTTTTTTCGAATTTTTTATATATAAGATGTGGTTTTTCAGTTCTCAAAGTGTACTCAATGCATATAGGGCATTTAAATCTATATACTAATCACAAAAAATGAAAAATGAAAAATGTGAAAATTTTGAGTCGGGAAAGGGGGGGGGGTCCCCTTAAGCTACAGTATTCAGGTTTGGGGTATAACATCGATACATGATCTATTCTCTAAAGGTGAACTAGAGCAATTACTCAAATTTAGACAATGAATTAACCCTAAAATAAAGATTCTATAGCCAAAATTTAGATGGTGCAGACAACATACCATTCGGTATTGAAAAAAAAAAATATTCATTTTCATATAACCTCTCAATATCGATGAAAACAGATACAAGTCAGTTTCATCTATTTTTAAAATAAATAAAATGATATTCATGATTTTGTAATGTTCTGAGGTATCTATTCCATATATAGTTTAATTTCTTAAATTCCATTTTGTCTGAAAGAAATTAAATTGTAATAAAAAAAAAATAAATATTTTATTTAGAGAAAAACAAGTATCATCAAATAATTATCATGAAAAAGAATCATTACAATCAAATGTTCGTCAACTTGTGTATGTACAATAAATAATAATTATATTTAATATTTTACTATTTTTTTTTTTTATAGAGAAGTTAATAAAAAACTTCGTGATGAAAATGATGCATTACGTGTTATGATCGAATCAAACAAAGCCAACGTTTCTTCTGATGTTCGTATTTCATTGAAATATTTTTACAAGAAAATAAAAAAGATTATTTGTTTTTTTTTGGTTATTATTATAGATTCATCCAACATCAAAACGAATGTCTCGAAGTGGATCAATTCTTGAAACTTATTGGCATAATCATCATCCAAAAATTGATTGGTATGTTCATATATCATACAATTTATCTATCAGAAAAAAAAAACATTGACTTTTGTAAGAATTATCCATAGATGTCGATGTTCAAATGTACTATAATTTTTATAGAGCGAAAAATTATAAGTATTTTTTATCTACTTCTATTGTTTGAATAAGTTTAAATTGAAAGGCATATCTCGAAGTGTAGCTTGTATGTTAAAGATTGATCTAGTCTTATACTTATCGATCATTTTAATTGATTTTTAATCAGACTAAATTGTAGAATGATATAAAAGATATTTTTTGATATTTATTAAATTTTTCTTTATATAAATTAGTACATCATCATCATATACATCAACAGCTCAACAACAATCTCATCTTGGAAAACTTGATTCATTCGATATCGAATCAACTGATGAATTAGGTATAAATGGAAACAGATCTTTATCTAAATCCAAATTAGATGTTGCTGATATTTCATTACAAAAAAATTCACCAGCAACAACAATTTTATTTTCTTCTAATAACGCTCGTAGACACAATACTATGAATGGTTTGTTTTTTGCATGTGAATATGGTATCGAAAAATGTCTCTGTGATTTAATGGGAAAGCAAAAAGCCTTCTTGTATTCTTCAAGCTTTAGCCTAATTAAATTTTGATATACATTTATATGTATCATGATAATCAATGATTGTTTGTTTTCTTTTTTGTGTTTTTGATTTAAATAGATAGTGGTTTATCATTAACAACTGTACGTGATGCAACTGAACTTGAATCAGATCGTGATGAACAAGCTAATAAACAATCATTAAAAAATTCCAAATCATATCGACCAACGTCAATGAAACGAAATAAAGATGATACTGATTCTGATGAACTTTTCGATGCGGTATATTCGATTGTTGACTTCTATCAAAAAGAATAAATAAATAAATTCTTGAATTTTAATAGAAAGCAATGGACCGTAATAATTCGAAACGATGGTCTCAACAACGATCATTAAAACGAACATCTGGTAATGAAAATTCATTATCAAAACATCTAATCAATTCATCATCATCACTACTTAATCAAACACCTACAAGAAAACATAGCGGAGCAACAGTAACTGATATTCAAAAAGAGCAAACAACATCAAACCATCCATTTGAGTAAATAAATAAAATCCTTTTATTGTTTTTTTTTTCATAATCTTTTTCTTTTTGTGGAACACAATCTAAAAGAAGTATTGAAATATACATAGTGTCTCATAAGTTCTAGGCCTCAATGAAAAATAGTTTATATGTAAACAAAGGGTAATTCTTGTGCAACTGTATCTATGTGAGCTTTTGATACTTAGGACGATATTACCTTTTTTAATAACACTGATATAAACAGAAGAAACATGATAATTAAAATTTCGAAATCGACTAGTATTTTTTTTGTAAGAAGTTTTCATGAACTATGAATTCATCATATGTAACGTAACACTATTATACAAAACGATACGTTGTATCTAGGATATGAGTGTGGCTATTCTCTGTACCCACACCCAAATTATCATGTTTCTTCTGTTTATATGACTATTATTAAAAGAGATAATGTCATTTATACCATTGTTCTAAGTACTCAAAGCTCATATAGATATAGTTGGATAGCGATCACTCTTCGTCGACAAATAAATTCATTTTCGTTGAGGCCTAGAATTCATGGGACACCGTCTAGAAGAAGAAATTAGGAATCTCCCCGTTCCTCAGACTATGACAGACATTGTTAATATATGATCACAGAGTGTATATCAATAACGTCTCGTTCTAATATATGAACTACTTTCTTACTGCACTGCTTGAAGATTAAGTAAAAGGATAGTTAAGAAATGTATTCCAAAATAGATAGAATAAAACAATCTTTCTGTGATTAGCAATAGCATCAACATCGCGTTTCACATTTTAGTTCTCCGCAGAGATCCGTTAAGAGGTTTCTTTTTCTTTTTTATTTAGTCGTATGTATAAAGTCGTTTTTTGTGGTGATGCTGCTGTTGGTAAAAGTACATTAATAATGCGTTTATGTAAAGGAAAATTTATTTCAAATATAAATTCTACATTGGGTGTTGATTTTCAAAATAAACAACTTGAAATAGATTCAAAACGTATTGCTATACAATTATGGGATACAGCTGGACAAGAGAGGTAAAGAAATAAAAAAATGTTTACTTTTATATTGAATACTATTTTCATTTTTAAAGATTTCGAAGTATTGCAAAATCTTATTTTCGTCGATGTGATGGTGTTATACTTGTTTATGATTCAACATATGAACGATCATTTTTAAATGTTCGAGAATGGATTGATACAATAGCAGAGTCAACATCAAAAAAAGTTTCAGTTATGATTGTTGCAAATAAAATTGATTTAAGAGATCAAATGCGTGCAGAAGGAAAAAAAGTTGTTGAATATGATGATGGAACAAAATTAGCTAAAGTTCGTTTTTCATCAATATAAATATCAATAAGATTTTGAAATTTTTTTTTTTTTCTTTCTCTAGGAATATAAAGCATTATTTATTGAAACAAGTGCAAAAGATGGTACTAATTCAGATGAAGTACTTATTGAATTAGCTCGGTATGTATTCAATATTTATTTTATCGAAAACATTTTTAAAAAAAAACCTACAATTTTGTGTCTTTTTTACAGAGACATGCAATGTAATGAAGATTTAGAACGTTATCGTACATCTGGAGTTGATTTAGATAAAACAACGAAAAAATCAGCATGTTGTGGTAGTCGATCTTAAGCAAAAAAAAAAGATATTTTACTCGTCATTCTATTTTTCTTTTTTGTTTTGGATATATATCTATCTATGTGAATTGTTTTTTTTTTTTTAATTAAATGACAGAGTTGAATTATTTTATTTTGTTATATATTTAAGTATTAGATTGGAACAAGTGTACTGTATTATCTTGGCTTTTTTTTTTCTTTCGAACAGTTTTACTTTTCAGTTGTATATACATACGTTATTTTTTTTTTTGTTAAATTCTACGTTAATTCCTCGAAATTGTGTTTGTTATTATTCATTTTTCTTTTTCTTTTTTTTTTGTCATGAAATACATATGATGATTATTTTCTCGGTGATGTATTATTGGTCATGATTAGTACAAATTCATCGTAATTAACTGAAAATAATGAAAGATTAATTATTCTTTGTTTGTTTTTTTTTGGATAGAGTAATGCTTTTTACTTCGTCCATCACCATCAATATCGGCTTCAGCAATCATTTCGAGAGCATCTTCATCTGTTGGACGATCACCAGTTGCTTGAAGAACTAGAATTGGATTCTTAATAGGATAGTTTCATTTGAAGTGAGATTACAAAAAAAGAATCAAGATGAAAATTTATTATGTGTTAAGAAAAGAGATTTTATATAGGGCCGACTTTTAAAACAAGTCACAACGACAAAATGTCAATCGACTTGAAATTCATAACACAAGCCTAGTAATTTTAGACTAATGTTTGTTATTATTGTTTTCGAGTTTATTTAGACTTGATTAACGATATACCAGTTCGATAATAGTTTCGATTTTAGGAACTGATCTATTTGAACAGTTCTCAGAAATGAGTCGATCAAACTAGAATTAACAAGCTATCCACAACTTTTCAGAAGCTATTTTAGACTAATACCTGTAATTATTATGATATAGCTGACACTCGTACCTGTCCAGTAATATATAACACTATTGCTTGAAATACTATGCAGGTTTTTAGATGTTTTTCAGCTTGATTGCTATCAAGTCGAGATCGATTTCGTAATAAATGATAGAGATAGATTGGTTTCAATTCAATAATCTTTTTTTAGAAGCGATTTCCTTATAAGAGCTGTTTTGATTTTATTTATGAGATGCAGCATACCCACTCGTAAGTTGATGTGATGTTCTCGAAAAAAAAACAGTTGGAAAAAACTTATATCTTAGTAAATTCTTCAATGAACAGGGTATTTTAAACTTTAGTCACAAGTGCTAATAGTTGGATGATGTTACGTGTCATATTTTTATTGACTGAGAAATGTTTTTTTCTTTTTGCTTCAGAGAAGGTTCTGTGAAGTTCTGCTTGTGTTTCTTGTTCCAATAAAAACAATCATATTATTGAGGTCACTAAGTATTAGTATTATTCTATGATTTGAATAAAATTGCTATTAACTGAATACCTGCACGAAGTTCTTCCATTGTAATAAATCCATTTTGATCAAGATCTATTCATATAAAAATATTTCATCAATATGTTTTTCTTTTTCTTCTAAATATTTATTTATTTATTTATACCAAATACTTGAAAAGCTCGAAATAATTCTTCGCGTGAATTTTTATTTGTATCAACTGCTTTTTTAACCATATCTTAACATTGAAATTTATTCATTAATAAATTATTTAAGATTTTGTTTTTGTACCAACAAATTCTGCAAATGAAATAGTACCACTTTGATCTTCATCAACTTCACGAATCATATCTTGTAATTCTTCTTCACTTGGATCTAAACCCATTTGATCAAGAACAATACGTAATTCTATTATTAACATTTACATGTATAGAAAACTTAAGAATAGACAAAATAACCTGAAAGTGTTATACTTCCCTAAAATATATGAACTGCATAAATATATTTGAAAAAAAATTTTTTTTTCTTACATCACCATTTTGATCAAATACACGAAAAGCTTCTCGTAATTCAGCTAATTCTTCTGGACTTATATCATAAAATGCTTTATTAGCTACATTACTTGGTGATGAATGACTACGATGTTCAGACATTTAAATATAAATATCAAAAGTAGTAATATAGCGCGTTAATTCAAAATTATTATATTCAATTATTTATTCAATAGATGACGCTACTATCTAATCAATAAATTATGAAAATAATTTAGATTTTATTTTTTTCTAGTTGAATTTTTTCAAATATTTTGAATAACGCTCAAAATTTTAACAAAAAATTTTTCATTTTTATTAATTTGAAGGTTTAAGATTGACTGTAAAGTATAATGTGATTGGTTCAGTTATTCACTTGTAAAAGTAGAATCTTAATTTTATTGTGAAAGAAAATAGAAAATATTTGTACTGCTTATCTTGAACTTTTACATCCTCATATCAATAATGTCAATTAATCAAGCACATTTTCAAAATGGTCTATTACTTTATCAAGGCGAACAGTAAGTAAATAAAATGGAACAGTAGCTAATTTATAGGAAAATGTTTTGTGATCATGATTGCCCTTTTTCAAAATCCTAGATTCACCACTGTAATATAATATTCTAATTTATTATTATTATTTTTTTTTTTTTCATTAGAATTGTAAATCATTCTAAAAATGTAACATTATCATTTGATGATGCTAGTCGACAATATGGTGAAGTATTTCGTGGAAAACATAAAGGAAAAATATTTGTAACAACTCATCGAATGATATTTCTTAATGATGATCAACGAGATAATTTACAATCATTTGCTATAGCATTTATGTATATGAAAAATTTACTTGTTGAACAACCTTTATTTGGTGCAAATTATATTTCGGGTATAGCTGCTTCACATCCAAACGGTTAGTTCATGTTTTTTCTTTTTTTTTTTTTATACTTTTAATTTCGAAAATGGGCATCTTTTTAATCATTCCATGGACGTTGATGACGATCTCCATGATGATTAGGAGGAAATAGCCGTCTTCGCCCATAATGACGATTATGATCATGATCATGATGACGATGACGATCATGATAGTTGTCTCGTTCATTATTTCTATTATATTCTTTTGTTGTTTTCTTGTTTAATTTTTGTATTTGTAATGTTGGATCACATGCAAACCAGCCATTTGTTAATGATTTTGGATAACCATCTAATAAATTTCCATATATTGAATTATAAACATAAACATGATTTCTTGTAAATATATAATGTCGTTCACCATATGTAAAACCTGAATGAATTGATTCTTTTGGTGGTGAATCAAGTATTGTCGTAATAGGATGTATACCTAATTCTCTATTATAATTAAATTCATTTAAAGAATAAGCTATATCATTTTGTAATAAATATATTGAATTATTATGAAATAAGGCAACATGAGAATTTTGTGGATAATTTTTTCCACGTAATCGATGTGGTCCTTCCATAGACCAATGTGTTCTAGCTTTCCATAGATCATAATTATGAAAAAAATATACATAACCAGTTACAGATTTAACACAAGCTGTTATTGTTTTATCTTTTAAATGTGGAAAACGTTGACTAATTAATGTTGGTTGAGGATCCCATCCTTGTTTTGTTCGTGCACGATATCTCCATAGATGAGTATTTTTAAATAAATAAAGATCACCATCAGGACCTTCACAACCTGTTTGAAAATCTCCTGAACACCAATTATTCATTGGTAATATATCAGGAGAACGGGTTGACGTCATTGGTGATAAAGTTGTTTTTGTTGTTGTTGTTGTTGTTATTTTCTCATCTGATTTACCATATAAACTTTGAATACCATCTTGATCATCCTTTGATATACTATAATCTGAATTAAATTGTTGATAAACAGGAAACATAAGAGAATCTTCAGCAAATGAATGTGATAAACCAAGTGCATGACCTATTTCATGTGCAGCAACAAGTCTTAATGTATATTGATCATTTTGATTTGTATAATCATCTGTAAAATATTCATCATCATCAAAATGTATATCACCACTTTTTGGATAGAAAGCATGTGCTAATGTTATACCTTGACCATCAAATGGATATCCATCATTATGATCTTTTGAAGAAAATTTGATATTAAAATTAGCTGTTTCTTTTGTTTTAGCCATTTCAAATGTAAGTCCAGAATATTTTTCCCAATCATGAAATGCTTGATTTATTATACGACGAATATCATCTTGTGATGTTATATGTTTTTGTTGTTTTGGATATTCTTCGATAAACCATTTTAAATGTTTTATTGGCCAACTTTTTTCATGTGTTACATAACTTTCAGCTGTATTCATATTAGTTAATCGTCCTTGATTTAATAGTAAAGGTTTAAGTTTACCATCATTACTAGATTGTTTTTTAACATTAAGAATACCTATATCTGGATTTCCACAACGTGGTCGTTGCATAAGTTTTTTAGTTTGTTCATCAAGTATACCCGTTTCCTAAATATTTATATATTAATATTAAAAACGATTAAATAATATAACTTACTGGTAATTTAAAAAGACGTTGAAATTTTTTAATACCTTCATTAGCCGATGGTTTACCCGAAGGTGAAAAGAGTCGACTTTCAAGTTTAGATGTATGATCAGATTGTGTATAACCAAATTGTTCTAAATATTGATTATAATTCGGTGCAGATTTAGTACAAATACAAATCTGAATATGATTGATGAAGATGAAAAAAAACCAACATACGATTTGTTTCATTCTCATAGTTAAATTAATTGTATCGTTTTGTTGTACGGCTTTTTCTTTTTGCTTTCAAATCAATCAATTGATAAGAATATGTGTTTTGACTGACATTTATATAGGGTATTTTTTTGTTTATTGTTTAGGTGGATTTCAAGGTGAAGTTAAATTCCAATTAACTTATTCATCGGGTGGTGCCATTGATACGAGTACAGCATTACGTGAAGTTAATTCGATTTGTGAGTCATTATTGTTATATGTACCAATCAAAATACAATTTTGTTTTCTAATTTCTTTTTTAGTTCATCGAGAGATAGAAGGAACTCCACCGTAAGTTTTTTCTTTTTGTAAACGTATTAAAATCTTGCTTTTTTTTTTCTTATTTATTCTGTTGATTCTAGTTCTTATAGTATGGCTGCAGCTAATCTTTATGAACCACCACCACCATCATATCAAACAGCACAGGCTACGAATAATCATTTTGCAGGTAAATTTTAGACAAACAAAAAAAGAAAACAATTTCTTATATAAAATTTTATTTCATTAAATTATAGATACAACTATGTATATTTCACAAGCACAAGCACCATATGAAGGAGTTTATCAACGACAACCAACAGGTTTACCAGCACCAGAATTCATTCCACAATATCCTGATATATCATCAACAAATGTAAATAATTCTACAATGTATCCTTCAATGACAAATGAATATCAATCTCAACCGGTTTATCAAAATAATAATTTTAGTGGACAAATGAATGAACAACAGGTTTGTTTGTTTGTTTTATAATTTAATGAATTTATTCAATTAAATATATAGAATTATCAAATGCCACCATCATATGAACAATCACAAAATCAATTCCAACAAAAGAAACATACTTAAAAAGAAATCGATGGAATTAAATTCAATATGATTATATATTTTTATGCATATTTATTTATTCATTTTTTTTAGTGTTGTCTTGTTGTGTATCGTACACTATTTTTGTATATTACCGCTAAGTCAAATCATGCTTCTTGTTCTCTTTCTTGCAATCAAAATTGATCTGAAATATTTTTGTTGTTATTGTGCAATAATGAATATATATATATTTATTGAATGAAATATAATTATACTATTGTAGATGCCCTATCGTTCAATAACAAGCAAAGATGTGGCATCATTACCACAGCCTGGTTTTAATTTAGCTGAATCAATAAAATTTAGTCCCGATGATACTCTTTTAACTTATCTTCGTTCACCAAATCAAACATTAACAAGACAACTTTATGCATATAATCTTCAGACAGAAAAAGAATTTGTTTATGCTGAACCTGACATTGGCCATGGAAAAACAGAAGAAAATCTTTCAATGGAAGAAAAATTACGACGTGAAGTGTGTGTGTGTTTTATTTTTGAAATTCTATATATAAAAACACGAGAGGTTATTTAGATCAAACGAAAACAAGTAGTGACGAGTGAAGTTTTTCAATTGATTAATTGTTTTTGAATCATGACTATGCACATTATGTAGAATCTCACGAGACCTCAACATTGATTTGAAAAAAAAAAAATATCGTCAAAATACAATTTTTTCGTAGCAATAACTTAAGGATCCGAACTCTTCAGAGTCTTCACCGCTCGTTAAAGTCTATCTGATGTGGATTTTAGGAAAAAATTTCTAACAAAAATTAACTCTAAATACTATGTGAAAGAACAATCTCATTACTGATGTAAGAATCTCATTGAAAACCTAAAAATTTTCTTATCCATATCGATAAATTAAAAAAAAACTAATAATAAACTTTTTTCTTTGTGTACGTTTTTATTTATAATTAACAAAAAAAATAAAAACATCGTTACAAATTATTTCTTTTACTTTAAGCGTCAACGTCAATTAATCACTGGTATAACTCGTTATCAATGGTCTAAAAATAGAGCTCGACCATTAATGCTTATACCTATTGGTAGTGATTTATATGTTCATGATGATAAAGAACTTCGTCTCTTGGTTAATGGATCTAATCAACCACCAATTATTGATCCAAGACTTTCACCTGATGGTTCATTTGTTGCATATGTTCAAGATTCTGAACTTTATTGTGTATCAACAATAGAAACATCTCCACAACCACGTCAATTAACATTTGATGCACGTGATCAACCAAATAAAACTAATGGCCTTGCTGAATTTATTGCTCAAGAAGAAATGGATCGTAGTGAAGGTTTTTGGTGGTCAGATGATTCACGTTTTATTGCATTCACTCAAGTTGATGAATCGAATGTACCAATATTTCGTATCTCACATTCTGGTTCTGATGATCCTGATCAAGTAAAATAAGATTTAGAATAAAAAAAAAAAAAAAAGAAATAATTTTTTTGTTTTTATTAATAAAAATTTTTTAGAGTGAAGAACATCGATATCCATTTGCTGGTAAAACAAATGTAAAAGTTACTATTGGTATTATTGATCTAATAAATAATAATAAAACAATACCTAATATTCATTGGATTGATTTAAGTTCATTTTATGATTATTATATTGCACGTGTACATTTTTTTCCTAATAATAGTCTTGCTTTACAAATTGAAAATCGTCAACAAACAAAATTACAATTATATCAATATGATTTTTTAAATAAAAAACAATTAAAATTATTAATTGAAGAAATAAGTCAATCATGGATTAATTTACATGATTTATTTCATACATTAAAAAAATTACCAACACAATTTATATGGGCTAGTGAACGAACTGGTTATATGCATTTAGAATTATATGATTTAAATACTGGAAAATTAATTAAATCATTAACAAATGGTGAATGGGTTGTACAACGTATAATTGATATTGATGAAGAAAATTCAATTATTTATTTTCTTGCTAATCGTGAAACACCATTAGAAGTACATCTTTATAGTGTTAATTATAATGATGATATATCAAAAATAGATCGTATAACACAAGAGCCTGGTTGTCATGTTATTTATTGTTTTAATCGAACATATGAATATTGTATAACACAATGGAATTCAATTGATCAATATCCAATTATAAGAATGTTAGATATTAAAAAGAAAAAAATTATTAAAACATTAGATTATTTACAACAAGGACAAATACAAATAATAGAACAATTTCATCTTATTAAACCTCAATTAATAAAAATACAAAATAGAAATAATGATACACTTTATTGTGCAGTTTATAAACCCGATGATGAACAAGGAAAATATCAAAGACCATATCCAACACTTGTATCAGTTTATGGTGGACCACATCTTCAACGGTATGTTAAATAGATGAAATAAGATTAAGTTTATTTTTTAAATTCGTTCGATTTTCTTTTATAGTGTGGTAGATTCTTGGTCCCTTCGTGCAGATATGCGTTGTCAACGTTTAGTTGAATCTGGTTATGTCGTATTACGTTTAGATAATCGTGGTAGTCCAAATCGAGGTTTAGCTTTTGAAAGTGTTATTAAATATGATATGGGACATTTAGAACTTGAAGATCAAGTTGATGGTATAAATTATCTTATAAAACAAGGGATTACAGATAAAGCACGTGTTGGTATGTATGGTTGGTCTTATGGTGGTTATATGTCTGCTATGGCATTAGTTCGTCAAAGTGAAGTTTTTAAATTAGGAATTGCTGGTGCACCAGTTACACATTGGGATGGGTAAATATAAATATTATAATAATATTTATGTTTGAAATCTTTTTTTTTTTTTTTTTGATTAGATATGATACTCATTATACAGAAAGATATATGGGTACACCAGAAGATAATCCTCATGGATATATTGTATCAAGTGTAATGCATCATATAAATAATTTAACAGGTCATTTAATGATAATACATGGTTTAATTGATGAAAATGTTCATTTTCGTCATTCAGCTCGTCTTATAAATGCAATTATACGAGCAAGTAAATCTTATGAACTTATTCTTTTTCCTGATGAACGACATATGCCAAGAAAACTTGATGAAAGAATTTATATGGAAGATCGAATGTTTGAATTTATTAGAAAAAACTTATAGTTAAAATTTCGTCGTTTTTTTTTTCCATATTTTTTTAAAGATTATCTTTACTCTTATAAACTTTTATAGTAAAATAAAAGATACGTATCAATTGAAAATAAAGAAGAAAAAACAAATATTAATTTTATTATTTTAGATCTTGTTAAATTTCCATTATCGAGTTTTTCGTTTCCGTATAAAAAATGAAACATAAAAATCAAAATAAAATGGCTATTGAAGGTTAATTTTATTTATTTATAAAATAATTTATTATCATTTTGTTTTTATATTGAATATTAGAATTTGAACAAGATCCAACAAATTCTCAAGAAGGTAATGGATTAAACAAGACAACAAATATTCAATTAACTAATGAAGATAAAGAAAAAGGAAATTTAAAAAATTTTAATATTTCAAAAAAGACCATTAAGAAACTTAAAGGTAAATTTGATATTTTCTTTTTTTTTGTAAACAAAAAAACAAAAGCAAAGTTTTATTATTATTTTATTTTAGCTCGTAATGTTGAGTTTCTCTATCCAGTTCAAACCGAAAGTTATACAGGTATTTATGAACAAAAAGATTGTTTAATTCAATCATCTAATGGAACTGGTAAAACATTGGCTTTTGTAATTCCTATTGTTGAATTACTTCAACATGATAAATCCGTTGAATTAGTATCTGGACGAGCACCACGTGCTCTTATTTTAGGACCAACACGAGATATAAGTAAGTATTAATATACTTTAAGAAAAACAACAAAAAAATAAATACTAAAAAAATTTTTTTTTTCATAGCTAAACAAATCTCAGATGATTTTCAATCAATTATAAATGATTTATCAATTGTAACAATTTATAGTGCCAAGAAAAAATCAGATGATCAAGAAAAAGCTATTTCAAATGGTTGTGATATTCTTGTTGCAACACCTGATCGATTAAAAGAATTTATTGATAATGAAAAAATTGATTTATCTCAAATAAAACATGTTATTCTTGATGAAATTGATCGTATGCTTGATTCACCTGCAATCGATCATATAAAAACAATTTTTAAACATATTTTTACATCAGGTAATCATCAAAAAAAAAAAAAAGAGAATTTTAAATAATTATACCTTTTAATAGATCAAGAAACAAAAGCACAATTGATTGTTTTTTCTGGAACTATGCCTGATTCAGTTCGTAAATTAACAAAAAAATTCTTAACAACAGATTATGTTACGATTAATTTGGCCAAAAGAAACACACAAGAAACATCAGCTGATGATGATGATGATGATGATGATGACGTAACATTTTCTCTAGAAAAATCTTTTCGTTCAATGAATTGTTTGTTTTTTTTTCTTTATGAATTAGAATTCTGAAGAACCTATTAATACTTCATCAAATAACAAATCCAAAATGACAGATCAAACTCCTCGATCACTTTTATCAAAACAGGAAGTAAATAAAAACCTTTCTTTTAATCTAGGTTTTTTTTTTTTTTTATAAATTTGATTCTTTTTTTAGAATTATACAACATATCAATTAACAGCAAATGATGAAATAAAAAGTGTCGGATTTGTATTTACAATGTTACGTAAATGTTTTGGTGATGATTTTGATGCTAAAGGTACTATTGCACAAGTTGCATTTACGAAAGATTTTAAAGTATGTCTCTAAATATATCAAAATATTTGATTATTAAAAAAAAAAACGAATTTCTAATTAGAGTGCTATATTCGATTTACCAAGTGAACTTGATGAACAATTACAAGGTTATTGGAAAGATAGTGCAAGAATACAAATGGGACCTATTACAGAATTACCTGAAATTGATGAATCATCAAAAGAGGATTATACAAATTATTCAGGTGGTAAAAATAAATCACCATACGGTGGTGGTGGTAATCGAAATTCTGGAAAATCAAGTAAGAATAATTGATATTTTTGATTTTTTTCAATATTTTATTATTCTTTGTTTTTTTTTTTTTACTTAACTTTTTAGATGCATGTTTTAATTGTAAGTGTTTCTTCATATTGTATATAAATTAATGTAAAAGAAAAAAAAATGATTTTAGGTCAAAAAGAAGGTCATAAATCTTGGGAATGTCCCGAATCGAATGGTACACACTCTCAACGAAATAGTGGAAATAAATTCGGTATGTTATTTTTATTTTTCGAAAAATTAAAAAGATATTGTTCTTTTATGTTTAGGTGGCGGTGGTGGTGGTGGTGGTGGTGGTTGTTTCAATTGTGGCAAAGATGGTCATAAATCTTTCGAATGTACCGAACCGAAAAAAGCCGGTGGTCGTTCAGGAGGTGGTGGAGGTGGTGGAGAAAGATCAAGTAAATTATTTTCTTTTTTGTTTAACAATGGAAAAAAAAAAACATTATAAAAAATAATTTTTGTAGATGCATGTTTCAATTGTGGTAAAGATGGTCATAGATCATTTGAATGTTCAGAACCAAAAAAAGCTGGTGGTCGTTCAGGTGGTGGTGGAGAACGATCAAGTAAATTATTTTCTTTTTTGTTTAACAATGAAACAAAAAAAACACTTTAAAAAATAATTTTTGTAGATGCATGCTTCAATTGTGGTAAAGATGGTCATAGATCATTTGAATGTCCAGAACCAAAAAAATCTGGTGGTCGTTCAGGAGGTGGTGGAGAACGATCAAGTAAATTATTTTCTTTTTTGTTTTTAATGATCAAAAAGCTAAAATTTATATTTAGATGCTTGTTTCAATTGTGGTAAAGAAGGTCATAGATCATTTGAATGTCCAGAAGCTAAAAAAGGTCGACCATCATTTGGTGGCGGTGGTCGTGGTGGATCTCGTGGTGGTGGTGGTGGTGGTGGTGCAAAACGTAGTTTTGGTACTAATAATGAAAACGGTCATAGTGTTGGCGAAACAACTAACAAAAAGATCAAATTTAATGATGATGATGACGAATGAATAAACAAACTGATGTTTAAAAAAAATTTTCAGTGTGTTTTTTCTTTTTGTTGTTTTTGTTTTCTACATTCATCAATTTTTTGTTTTGATGTTTGTAGTATTGTTATTCCAGCCGAATAACATTAAACAAACATAATGAGATTCCAAAAAATAATAAAAAAAAAATTCTTCATCAATGAGCGACATCATATTAATCAATATAGAGGAGATGGTGAATGTTGTCATAGTATTTTATAGAGAGAGAAAGAAAGAACAAAAAAGAAATGCTTGATCTATCGTTAAAATTTTGAGGATTGAAATATATTAAACAATAAAATGGTAAAACAAACAATTCAAATATTTTGTCGAATAAAACCAACAAAATCAAAAACACCGGTATTAAAAATTTTGTCATTTTTCGGAAACAAGCAAAAATAAATATTATTTATAGGTTTATGAAATAAATCCAGTTGATGATGGAGCTAATCTATCAATTATTATTCCAAAAGAGGCAACAGAAGGTTATATAAATAATAAACGAGAAGATTTTCGTTTTCGGTTAGTTAAATCGAATCAAAAAAATAAATTATTTTATAATTTTTATCTTACAGTTTTCGTCAAGTATTTGATCAAAATTCAAAACAAGATGATATTTTTTCATTAGTTGTTCGACCAGTTATTGATAAGTAAGATTATTAATTAGGAATGTAATGCTTTCCTATTTCTGAAAATTATCCACACTGCACTATACCTCTCTCCAGCATTGAATTATATCTCTGATTATTAATATTTTAGAATAGAAGATTTTTTAATTTTTATTATATAGTGTCATCGCTGGATATAATGGTACAATATTTGCTTATGGACAGGTAAGATCTTTTTTATTCCAATTGAATATTAAATAATTTTTGTTTTTAAATTCTAGACAGGATCAGGTAAAACATTTACAATAACCGGTGGACCTGAACGTTTTGCTGATCGTGGTATTATTCCACGTTCACTTTCATATATTTTTGAACAATTTAAACAAGTAAATATGATAAAACTATTCATTCATATTAATAAATTCTTTTTGTTTTTTGAGCATTCGGATCAAAGTTATACTGTTCATGTATCTTATTTGGAAATCTATAATGAAAATGGTTATGATCTTCTTGATCCTAAACATGAAGCAGCTAAACTTGAAGATTTACCGTAAAGATTTTTTCTTATGAAATTTAATAAAAAAACAAATCAGATAATATTTTTTATTTTTGTTTTATTTTATAGAAAAGTACTTTTAATGGAAGATGAAGATCAAAATATGCATTTAAAAAATTTATCAATTCATGCTGCACAAAATGAAGAAGAAGCACTTAATTTATTATTTCTTGGTGATACAAATCGAATGATTGCTGAAGTAATACAAATAGAAAAAAAATGAAAACAACTAATAGTTTTAGATTAATTTTCTAATTTCTTCATTTTAGACACCAATGAATCAAGCATCAACACGTTCTCATTGTATATTTACAATACATATAACTAGTAAAGAAATTGGTTCAGTAACGTTACGTAAAGCAAAATTACATCTTGTCGATTTAGCTGGGTTTGTAATTAATTCTCTTTCTTTTATTTTGACATTATGGCAAATCTCAAATTGTTACTAATAATAATAGAAATCAGTGATTTACTTGTGTATACATAATTGAGAATTGTCGTCAGTAGTATTTTTACCAGATTTTCTTTTCCGAAGGGGCGATTTAAAACTCTGAAAGGGTCAATTAAGTCTTCGGAAGAACGTCGCTTCCACGCTAGATGAAACACTGGTCATCAGAACAGCAGATATCAAAGACAAAAAAACGAGATATGTTATTTTGCTGATACTGATATTGTCTCCATTACGGTGACAACGACTATTCATTCCATTCCAATGACGTACCCTTATGATCACTCTCATCCACCCAAGACAGTAAATTTCCGATGTTTTTAGAATGGTAGGATTGAAAAGTATAGATAATTACATTTATATTAGTTTAAATTCGTATGATTCTTTCAATTTGTAGAATTGAAATTTATAATCAACTAGTATCAATTTGAGATTTGTCTTGTTTTGTTTAAAAAACAATTTCATTTCAATTTAGTTCTGAACGTGTATCTAAATCAAATGTAAATGGTATATTATTAACTGAAGCAAAATATATTAATTTATCTTTGCATTATCTTGAACAAGTTATTGTTGCATTAGCAGAAAAACATCGTTCACATATACCATATCGAAATTCTATGATGACATCTGTATTACGTGATAGTCTTGGTGGAAATTGTATGACAACAATGATTGCAACATGTTCAATTGATAAACGAAATATTGAAGTAAGAAATTTTTTCTTTTTCAAATTTTCTTATTTTTTTGTTTAAGGAAACAATATCAACTTGTCGATTTTCTCAACGTGTTGCATTAATTAAAAATGATGCTATACTTAATGAAGAATTAGATCCACGTTTATTAATTAATCAATTACGAGCTGAAAATTTACAATTACGTAATCAAATTACAATGCAAAATGGTGATGAACAATTTAATGAACCATTAACACCTGAAATGATGGCCAAGTAAATTTTGAAGAAGAAGAAAAAAAAATTAAATTTATTATTTTCTTTATTCTATTTAGATTAATTGAACAAGTTAAAGTTTATTTAGCTGATACAGATAATGAAGCAACATTAAATGTTGGTGCTGATATGCGTAAAATTGATCAATGTTATCGAGCATTTAAAGTAAGAAAGAATTTATTTTAATACATATAAAAATAATTATATTATTATATTAATAGAAATTATATCTTGAATTACAAGAACAAGCTAAAACAGTATCAACACAATCAACAAAAAATAGTCAACCAATTTATATAACACATGATATATCACCATATGATAGTAAAGAAGTTAAAGAATTAAAAGAAATTATTAAATTACGAGATAATGAAATTAGTATACTTGTGAATATGTTAAAAAAAGAAAAGAAAACAGAATATCGACCATTTAATGAAAGGTAATCAATATTTATATATTTTGTTTTTTTTTATCAAATAAGATAATCTTTAAATTTTTAGTACGATACCTCCAACTGGAAGTTCATTTTCATCGACTGATCGTGCTACAAATCAATGTAAGTTAAAGACAATAAAACCTTTTGAGATAATAGAAGAAAGATAATCACAATGTTTCAAAATATTTTTACTTTTTTCAAACTGCTAAATATATAAAAGCATAATCATAATCAAATAATTTATTACACTTGAAAATAAATCACAGAAATAGAAAGCAATATTGTTCTACTAAGAGAATTCTTTTTTGCGATAAAAATTCATCTACAGATGATGAGGAACTATATGATGAAGTAATTGAAATACACGGAGAGAAAAATGAACTATCTATCCAGAAGTATAACGTTTGGCACGAACACTCCCTGTTCTATTCCAACTTCATCAGCAACAAGCAAACGTACACTTAGCAAAATTGATCGGATTTTAGAAAGCGAATCCAGAATCACTTGTTTCACTTACTTTTTTTCTGAAGTTTGAGATTATCTCATTTTTTTTTTGTTGTTGTTTATGGAAGAAACTAAACAATATACTATATAAGAGAAACATATGCTTCTATGTCGTGATTTTTAGTTTATTAATACCGTCTTGCGTCTTATTTTTAGTATCGATTTACCGTATTCATCTGCATTGATATCTTTTTCTGTTTATTTAATTATTTTATCAAGTTTTGCTATTTTTTTTTTGAGTAAAATATTTCATACGTTTCTGATCAATTGATTAAGCTCTACAAACTAAAATAGAAAATTATAATTGAAAATTTTTTCAACTGAATAAATATAAATATATATGTTTATTGTAAATAGATCATTATCATCATTTCTTCAATTATTAATTTCAGTGAAAAATATGTCTGCTGGTCGTCAAGAAGCATTTGATCATTTTCGACGAGATAATCCTCTTAATCAAAAACTTGAAGAACATAAACGTATATTAAAACAACGTTATACAGAAGCTAAAACACTTGGAGAAGAAATAAATCAATGTCGAAATCGAATTAGTAATAATACAAAAATTATCTTTTTGTTTTTTTTTTTTTTTTATATATTTAATTTCATAGATCATATGAAAGGACAATATGAACAAATGCATTTACGTCTCGCTGCACAATTAACACAAGATGAACTAGAAAAAAATCGAGGATTAAATGAATTACATACAACAATGGAACAAGAACAAATAAAGTAAAGAAAATTTTATTTGAAATTTTATTTTATTTTATTTTATTTTTTTATAGATATCGTGAATGTTTTAATCGTTTAAAAAATATGAAACAAGAAATTGAACATATACAACATATTATTGAAAAAGATCGATTACAATTGTTAAAAGATTTTGATGATTGGTGGGAACAACAATCTGAACAAGCAGTATGAAAAAGAAATAATTTCTTGAAAAATATTTGTTTTTTTTTTTCTTATCATAGGAACAACAACGTCAATTATTAGAAATGAAACCATCAAACAGTAATGGCAATCTATCAAGACAAACAACAGTATCAGTAAGAAATTTCTGTTTTTTTTTTAAATTTTAAAATAAAATTGAAATTTTCTAGCTTCAATCAGATCATTCATCTGCACCAAGTAGTGCTTCTAAAACATCTCAACAGTACGTAGAAATATTAATACAATATGATATATACATATGTTTTGATTAGGTTGAATTTACCGTTAACAGGTGACAAAAAAACTGATGATGATATTTTAGCATTTGCTAATGCTCGACAAAGAATACTTTCACAAGCACATAAATGTAAGCAAAATATAAATAAGTTTAAGTCTTTATATTCTTTTCTTTTATTATAGGAAATAAATATTATTATTATTATTATTATTAATCATTTATTTCCTTTCTTATTTTTTATTTTACTTTTTATGATAATTCTTTTTTTTTTTTTTTTGACTATTCTTATTTGTGTTTTTTTTTATTGTACAGCCTATTGTTTTTGTTATAAGAAAGAAATATTGAGACATTATTTTCATACATGTATAGATGATTATTAAAACAAAAAAAAAGACAAGAAGATTTAGGGAGTTGTGAGTTCTTTCAAATACGAGTTCTGGTTCACAAAACCCTGGAACTCACAGTTCCCTATTTGTTTGATTTTGTTTACATAAATACAATTAAAACTATTTCATACAATTGAAGATTTTGGTTTTACTGTTGATTTGACAAATTTTGTTTATCAATTAACTGCTCGAGTTTCTTTGTTGTTAACGTAATGTTCTTTCTAATTAAACAAAAAACTTTTAAATTATTAAGCATCGAGTAATGAGAAAGTGAACAAGAAGAAATAACTGTATGTTGATTTTTTTTTTCTGAGAATAGCCAATAAATAACTAAAATCTTGATCCTTCACTTGTTTATGCACACAAAGAATCTCAGATATTAGTTGAAACAAACTCAGATCTGAACCTCGATCGGTTTGGGTTCACAAAAGCGGGAACGTGCAGTTCTCTAATGAAGTTACTGTATGTTGTATTATATAAAAAAAGAATAATTTACAAAAAAAATTTATCAATAAAACAAATAAATATAAAACAAAAAAAGTCATGATCAAAACAAAAAAGAAATTCATCACTTCACTTTTTATATTTTATTCTGTCATTTCGCCTTGCTTTTTTCTAGGATAAGTGCAAAACCAATACTCTACATCAATAATTTTTTCAATTCAACCAACACAATAGAAATTGATATTAAACTTTTTTATTTACATAGACAAATCATTCTTTTTGCTGTTTATTTTTTCCTTACTGTCATATTCTTTCCTTACCTATTGTCTATTAAATAAGAGAAACAAAAATGAAGAAATAAACTTAACAGGTATTGCCTTTTCTCATTCGTTAACAGTGTGAATGACGAAAAAACGAAAATGCAGATTAGACACTTTTATTAAGTAATAAAGGCTATTGCCAATTGGAGACTGGTAAAAAAAAACAAGAGAAGAACGAAAGAAACTATTCATAATTCAGCAGTGAAAGTTTCAACTGGTGTGGCACATATATTACATAAATACGATGCAAGAAGAATAACAAATCATCATGATCTTCATTCTAATCAGGTATAACAATAGAAATTAAAGAATAGGAATAACATCTGATATTAATTTCCATGGTTCAAGACATATATAGGTGTCTCTTTTTTTTATAATTGTTCTTTTATTCTATTGTATAGTAATATGATATAATAAATTAATTATGAATAATTCATTATATCGATTTATGTCTGTACCCACTAATGAAAATTATTTATCTATACCAACACTCGTACATCGACCATCAAGTCGAATATCAATGCAAACAAATAATTACGATATAGATGATGATTTTAATTCACCATCAAATCATTGTAAATCATTGAAATATTTTTACCATCCATTTCAATCACATATTTATAATTTTCTTGAACGACCATGTGGTATATATAGTTTTTTATATCATTTTACTGTATTTAGTATTGTTATTGGTTGTCTTGTTTACAGTTCAATATTAACTGTTTATATTGAACAATCATATTCAATATTATTTTGGATGGAATTTATACTTTTTATTTTATTTCTTATTGAATATATTGTTCGTGTATGGTCATCTGGTTGTCGAAATAAATATCATGGTTATCATGGTCGTTTATTATTTATGTGTAAATTAATGTGTATTATTGATTTATGTGTTATTATTGGTTATGGTATATTATTATTTTTAGGTTTAAATAATACACAATTTAATGTACAACTTATAAGATATGTTAGAATTTTACAAATACTTCGATTTCTTCATGTTGATCGACGTCTTACATCATGGCGTTTACTTGGTTCTGTTATATATGATCATCGTTATGAATTAGTTGCTACACTTTATTTTTGTTTTATTTTTTTAATTGTTATTGCTTATTTAATATGGTTAGTTGAAAAAGATGTAAGTAAACCATCTAATGAAGATATGTTTCATAGTTTTGCTGATACACTTTGGTGGGCTATTGTGACAATGGTAAGTTAAAAAAGAAAATCTTCTTTTTTTTGTTATTTTTATTATTTAACTTTATAGACAACAATTGGATATGGTGATAAATATCCTCGTACATATATTGGTAAAATGATAACATCCTGTTTATGTATTTGTGGTGTAGCCTTTTGGACATTACCATCGGGAATTATTGGTTCTGGTTTTGCTTTAAAAGTTCAACAAAAAAAACGTGAACAACAATTTAATCGTTTGATTCCTGCTGCTGCTAATCTAATTCAAAATTGGTGGCGTTTAATTGCATCTCGTCATCCAAATACAAAAGCAACATGGCGTATTTATCGTATTGAAATAAAACGAACAAATAAATTCAGTCGTCATATTGGTTCTGAATTTACTGTGACTACTTCAAATAGTACAAACAGTACACCACGTATGCGTAATGAATTAAATGCTTTATCTAGTGGTATATTATTAGATAAAATTTCATGGCGTAAAGTTGATGGAATTGAAGATCTTGATACCAATCAACTTACTGCTATACGAATGATACGTATTATTAAATATCATTCAGCTAGAAGAAAATTTCGTGAAGCACATAAATCATATGATTTTAAAGATATTATGGATGAGAATGTACGAGGAAATATAAAAGTTATGTATGCACTTGCTGATATACAACGACGTTTAGATCAAACATTAGTTTTATCAAAATCATATCCAAGTCTTATATCCGATCATGAACAATTTACATTAAATACAAAATTACAACGATTAGAAATAAAAATAGGTGAACTTGAAAAAAAAACAAATCATGTTATTTCATTACTTGAAGAATTATGTCAACGTTCAAATAATGAAGGAACAAATATAACAATGAATTGTATACCAGTAGTAGCCGAAGAATTAACATCGAGAAAATGATATGATCACAATATTTAGTCTTGCTTATTTTCTGTTTATTCTCTTGTAATTAATTAAATTGTTTATTTAATGTAATCTATGTGATTGTATCAATAAAAATAGAACAACAAAACAAAAATGAAAGTGAAATAAAAATAGAAACGTACGGAATAATCATGTGTCTGAATACATATGATCTTTTTCAATGAAAATTACAGTGCAGACATTTGCTATGATTCACCTAAAATATTAATGTATGTTGATGAAAAGATCAAAATGAATCCGGAGTGTAAATAAAGTATAATTAATAATATTCGTTATCTAACAGATATTTTTTTAGAAGAAATCAACATAGTTTGCACCATGGAAAAAGATTTTAATGAGTTCATTCGGCAGATATATTGAGTAATAGTTTACAAAACTTTCGAATTTCCTAGATAACAAAAATATGAACTTTGTACATTAACATATGTTTACTGGTATCTACTATATAACTTAAAGTCTTGTTCACTAGTCGGTTCAGATGCTAGTTTCTTTTCTGCAAAAAGATCTGATTTTGATTGTTTCGCCTATTAGCATAAAAATTTGAAGATTATGAAATTCCTTTAAAAAAACAAAATTCTGCGAAGATTTTAATAATTTTGAGAATGATTATCCAATTGTCAAAATCATAAATTAATAACTATTTATATTCTATAATTATTTTCATTAATTCAATCAAACTACTTTCTATATAAACAATCATCATGAAAAATGAATTAATTATTCATTTGTTGTTATTCGTAGAATTTGTATTTATTGACAATATAATATTTTGTTATATATTTAGTTTAGACAATGATATTCGTTTATATTAAATTTTTATTTTTATGTTCTGAGTTTATTCTATCTATCCAACACAAAAGATTAAAATTCATTTGATATTTTTGAAAATTTCTATCGCATGTTATTAACGACAACTACCGGTAATGTCCGATGATTGGACATTTAAAAAAAAAATAAAATATAAATCTATCAATAGATAGATCATAGACTCGTTCTGTTTGTATGTACACGTACTCTTGTCTTATTGAATTCCTTCGTTATCACATCGAACTATTATAACTGATTCTTCTTTTGTAACAATCAATCATTTAATTAAAACCCGAGAGAGAGAGAAGAAAAAAAAAACAATGGCAAGAGTATCGAATAATAAAATAAAAATTGGTGTACATTGGAAAAATTCTTTATTAATCGATATACCACCTTCGACTAGTCCTCGTCATCCGAAACTTATTGAACTTGATCCAGTTTGTATCTTATTAAATATTATTGAAATATTTCTATTTTCTTTTACTTTTCTTTTCATCTCTCGAAGAGCATTCCATTGAATGATTATATTAAAAAAATATGTGATGAGTAAGTTAAATAATCTTTTTCATCAATTAATTTCTCTTTTCATAGTTGGAAAATTCCTTTATCAAATTCAATTCATTATGCACTTCGATATGATGATACTCATAAATTTGTTACTGAACAAGTAAAATAATGCTTTGTGCTATTTTTGTATCCTTTTAAGTATTAGAAAATTTATTTTTTAGAATCGTTATCAAATTCCTACTGGTCAAGTTTTTTATCTTTCACTTTCACATGTAAATAAATTTAGTGTCTTTTTGTTTCTATTGAATCATTTTTTTTTTATTCTATTTAAAAAACAAAAAGGAAGATGAAGTTCAAGATATATTAAAATATCTTTCATCAAATGATTATCAACGATATGATTTAACTGTACTTGAACGATTAAAATTAGCTGGTGAAGATGAAACATTTGCACTTGAATTTGTTCAACAAAATGGTCTTCAATATTTATTAAAATTATTTACTCATGATGGAAAATTAAATAAGTTAGTTTATTTAATTCTTTCTTTATTATTTTTATTAAAATTTAGTTATGAAAATTTTACACCAAATCTACTTCGTTCACTTCATAATATAATGATAAATCAACAAGCTATTCATTGGGATAATCTTGAATCTATTAATACAATTGTTGATCAAGTAAAAAAAAAAAAAACTATAAAATTCGAATAATTTATTATTTAGTTAATATTCGGTATTAATGCATCAAAAATTCCTTGTTTACATTCATCATCAGCAATGATGATACTTCATTCAATTATTAATATTGAATCAAAATATTCATCAAAAATTATTCAAACACTTGAAATATCACATTTACTTGATTATTGTAACAAGTAGATATATTTTTTCTTTTTATTCTAATGTATTATTAAGAAAATTTCCAATATTTTTTATTTTAGACAGCATGATACTGAAACACAATATTATGCATTATCATTAATTAATGTGATTATGAGTAAAAGTGATCAACTACTTCGTTCTGTAAGCAAATTTTTTCTTTTGTAAAAATTTTAAAAGAAATTTTTTTTATTTTAGTCATTAGTAAGGACTATGTCAAATATAATTGTTTCAACAAATCTTCGTGAACTTGTACAATTAATAATTACTAGTGTATGAGTTTATATTTTCTATAATTTTTTTTTTTATTATTATAATTGTGTTTATTAAAGGATGAACATTCGAATAATGATTCCTATACATCTATGGATATCTCAATACAATCAACACGAGTTCGTATTGATTTACTAAACTTTCTAGTCTTATTGACAGCGATATAACTATTAGATAGTTCTCTTTATTTTTGTTTCATAGGCAATGTTCACTATGCACTAAAGCCCTGCGAAGTCAAAGTTTTTTTTTGACACCGAAAAACTCTGAATTTTTTTTTTGTTTTGAATAGTATATATATTTCCTTTTGTGCTAGTTGTTAACGAGAATATCTCTCTGATGTTCTTCTTTTTTCTTGAAATTTATTTATGAATCTATAAAGTAATGTATTATTGTTCATTACTTAACATACGATCATTTAGATTTCGTCGAGTTTCGAAGTCCGATGTAGAATTCTGCTTTATACAGCCTAGTTTTGAACAAAGGTATTGGAATTGAATTGTTGTGAAACTATTGACTATACTCTTTTTGGAAATCTATAGTATATAATTAGTGAATTAATGCATAGTAACTGATGTTTTTCTAAAATATATCCTTTATTACAAGTTAACAGATGTAAAAGTTTTGAAAATATAAAATCTTTGTTTTCTTAAATTTTATTTTTAAAATAAATATTTTTCTTTATAGTATGTTACTCGTTCATTACTTATTCAACAATTATGTCTTTTACAAAGATTTTATTTGAATGAATTATATACAAGTTCAATGAATACATCATCCGATCGATTCGATACGGTTTGAATATAAAATTTATTTGAAAATTTTTTTTTTTTCATTTTAATAATATATAGAAATATCGTGATATGATTTTGGAATTACGACGAAGTGCATTTGATACAGATTTATTATTATCTGATCAAAGTTGTCAAGATTTAAGTATTCGAGTATCACCAGGAAATATAAATGAAACAATATCAACAATGAATTCTCGTCGAGTTGAAGCATTACAACGTGATTATGAACGACTTGGATTTCAAGTTAAAACATTTAAAGAAAAAAAGAATTTTATAAACTTGAACAAAATTCTTTTTTTGTTTTTTTGTAGGATCTTCGAGAACCAATAAGAGATTTTCAAATAATTCCACCAGGTATTTTATCATTACAAAATTTATTCTATTTTTGTATTCATCAAAAAAATGATTTTATTCGAGTATGTTAAATTTTAAATATTTTTGTTTTAATCGATAATTTATATTTAGTTTGTTCTTGAAAATTCATGTAAAACACTTCAACAACAATGTCCATTAGTTAAATCAGCTATTGAAATTACACGAATACTTTGTAAACTTTTTTATATTGGCGTTGAACGTAAATATTTTATTTAAATATTAAGAATTAAAAAAAAAAAAACTTCTTTAGCAAATCGACATCAAATACATAAAGATTATTTCTTACTCTTCTACACAATATCATCATTTTTTGAACAAGCATTTGTTCGTTGTCTACTTTTATTTAATAAAACATGGAAAGAAATGCGTGCTTGTGATGTTGATTTTCAAGTGGTATGAGTTGAATTTTATCATTTAAAATAAATAAATATATTCTATTTGTTTTTTTTTATATATTAGGTTAGTTCAGTTGTATATCAACAAATTTCACAATCACTTGATGATATTTCTTTAATAAATTCATCAACAACAGTAACAAATAAAACAATACTATCATCATATTCACCTTCAAAAAGTCAAACATTATTATCACCAGTAATTAAATCAACAATGAATACATCATTAACGTCAATTATTTTACAACGATTTACATTTGATTATTTTTTTGAACGATTAAATACAAATAATTATAAAGATATATGTAGACGACGTGATGAACAAGAATTAAAAAGAGAAGAAACAATTATGAAATTACCGATTGTTGAGTATGAATTTCAATTCAATTAAAATATATAAAAAGAAAATATTATTTTTTCTTTAGAACATTAAAAGAACGTTTAAGATCACATGTTCAATCCTTAACACGTCAAGCTCGACTTAAAACAATGAAAAAAGGTCAAATATTTATGACTTATGAAAGTCGTTCTGGTGCAAAAAAAACAAAAAGTAATTTTTTATTATATACAATAATAATATTTCATTGATTTTTTAAATAGATCGTTCAATGTTTTGGCAATTACTTGATAATGAAAAACATGTACAATGTAGTGAACCACCAACAACAATCATCAAAGAACATAATACAAGAGATAGTTCAATAACAAGTCTTACTAGAACAATGAGTATGTTAATTTTTTACCCTTTTAATAGTAATTTTAAAAGAGTCACTTGGTAAATAAAATAATCTTATAAATAGACTATTAGCCATTCTAATATGCCGATTGTGTAGTCAAACTCATTAGCTATCTTTCTCTCTTGATGTAGAGTGATTTTAAGTATTCCAATGATTATATGCTAGAAAATAAGGATTCAATAGCATGAAACATTCGGATTTTTTTTCTTTCATGACAGGATTGCGTGGGACAAAAAGTAGTGTATGTCTCACGCTATTGAAATAATGGAAGAAGGAAATAAATATATAAAAAACTAATTTTGACATGGTACATGTATGTTCGACACATTGTTAAATAATGACCTATTTTTCTTTGAAACATTGCATTATCACTGAAGATATTTTATTCATATTAAATATTATTTGAAGATCTCATGTAATGAGATTTACAATACATGTACTAACTTTATTCTTAATTGTTTTCTATCTATTCAATAGTGACAACATAATTTATTTTGTACCTAATTATTTTATAATTTGTCAAACTATTATGGAAGTGTTGAGACTTCTATTTATCATTAGTAGATTTCTTATGAAAACATATTTTTGAAATTCTATGCATCATTTTGTTTTTATAATCAATCTACAAGTAGTCACTCTAGTGCTTAGTGAAAACTAAATATTTCAGTCGATAGATTAAAATTAATTAATTCAATTAACAAAAATCTTTATGTTTATTATTCTCTTTTTGATTTTTTTAATATAAATATTAAACTTATATTGAATAATTCTACAAGAAATTTTATTTAGTTCCACTTGAAAATATTAAAGATATTCAATGTAATATTGATCAATTACGTTCCGGTACTTTGAATACACAAGAACGAATTCCAAAAATTCCTCGTCATGTAAATATTTATCATTTCTTTTTAATTAGTAATCTTTTATTCTTTTAATAGAGTAATGCACATATGACTGTAACAATTATTCTTCAAAATGATACAACATATACATTATTATGTGAAAATGATTATGATATGTCATGTTGGAATGATGGATTTAATATTCTTTTACATAAAGAAGTAAAATTAAAAATAATTCTAATATTTTATTTATTTATTTATTTATTTCTCTATTTAATACAGATGGATAGTTTTTATGCTCGAGAAGAAATGGAATTATTATTAAATTTACTTTGTCAACTTCAAATATTGGAATTAGATAGTCCATCAATTATTTTACCACAACATCAATTACCTGTTCCTATTCGTTTACCACCAATTCGTCCTGTATCTTCAACATAGTATATTTTTTTTTCTACCTTAAATTGATCTTTAATATTTAACTACAAAAAAAAAAAACAAAATTGAATTCTCATCTATATTTGTATATTTATTTTTTTTCTTCTTTTGGTATAATGATCTTTTATTTTTAGATTTATATTTAATTAACTTTTTTTTTTCCTTTGTTTAATACAACGAAAAAAAAAATCGAATGGATTTAACAGTTCGTAAACAACAACAACAGCCATCACCAGCTCCTCCATCACGACCTATTTTAAATCCAGCAGCACCAACTAGTATGTTACAAAGTTCATCTAGTCAAAATTCTCCTCATTTACCTCCTCCTCCACCTACAACAACTACTGTTCCTTCGCAAAATTCAATTTCTCAACAACAAATCAAACAACAATCTCATCAATATGTTCCTGTACCACCTGTTGTTCAACAACAATTACATCAAGTTCAACAACATCAACAACGTGTTATGCATCAATCAAAATATGTTCAATTACTTAATGTTATTGAAGAAATGGGCAAAGATATTAAACCAACATATGCAGGAAATAAAAATTCAGCTGAACGTTTAAGACGTGCTATTGCTTCAGCTCGTGTACTTGTTCGTGAATGTCAACTTGAATGTGATCGAAATAGTCGACCTTAGAAAAAAAAAGAAAATAAAACGATAAAATAAATTATGTAAATATAATATTTGTTTGTTATTATTTCTTATCTAAAATAAATCATTCTATCAAATTAAATATTGACAAAAAACAATTAAATTTATTTCAATAAGTAGAAGTTAAATAATTCGTGTAATTAATAGATTTTATGTTACTAATATTGATTCTACATTCCTGAACAAAATACCTACATCATATTTGCTTAAAAGCAAACATTGAATTATGATAAATAATATCTATTGTTGCCTTTTCTACAAGCAAATGAATTTATCTTTAAAGATTTCATCCATCAAAACTCGATTTCTACTTGAGCAAGTGAAATTCTGATAGTGTCGCTGACTCACATGTCTGATAGAATATGGACATATAAAATTTTCAGATCTTTATCCCCTGTGATGACTGAAATTCGACGATAGTGAAAGACTTTTATCCAGGAGATATATTTCAAATACTTTTTGTTTTTATTTTTATTATTTGTAATTGTGATTTATTTATAGTATTTTTTTCATCTTTATTAGGTATTATCTCTTTGAATTGATTTCATTTTGATTATAATATCGAAATTGATGAAAATGATTTACATATTTGCTGGTACATAGCACAAAATTTCATTTGATAAACTTCATATATTTTAATAAGATTTAAATTATACTGCGCTCACAAATTGAATTTTTGTTTTTTTCAATAAGTTTTTCTTATTGTGACAACATTGTAAAAATCACCATATTCTATTTACTTATTAATTTTACTAACATAAAATATATTAAAGACAAAATACAAATATAGAATACAACAATAAATTACTGTTTGTCTTCGTTATTAAATCACTATAATGGACTAATTAATGATCGTTGTAAATTTAATAATTTTTCTTTAAGTTCATCGGGTTTAAATACACCATGTTCTGTTATAATACCAGTTATTAATGAAGCAGGTGTTACATCAAATGCTGGATTCCAAACTTGAACACCTTCAAAAAAAGCAAAAAAAAAAAAGATAATCATAATAAATTAATAAATATATTGACATTTTTTCTTTATATAAATATTTTACCTTCTGGTGCAAGATTAATTCCTTTAACAGTAGTCATTTCACTTGATGGACGTTGTTCAATAATAATTTCATCACCTGATTTTTTACTTAAATCTATTGATGTTGTTGGTGCAGCAATATAAAATGGAATATCATGATGTTTAGCAAGTATAGCTAATTGATATGTACCAATTTTATTTGCTGTATCACCATTAGCTGTAACACGATCAGCACCAACAATAACAGCATGTATTGGTTGTGTACGCATTAAAAGACCAGCCATTGAATCACAAATCATTGTATGTGGAATACGATCATGTACTAATTCATATGCTGTTAATCTTGAACCTTGATTATATGGACGAGTTTCAGTAAAATAAGCTAATTGAAGAACATTATTTGCAGCTAATTGTCGTATAATTCCAAGAGCTGTACCAAAACCAACAGTTGCTAATGAACCTGTATTACAATGTGTTAAAATATTTAATTTTTTTTTATTTGAAATATATTGACACATAGTTTCAGCACCATATTGACCAATTAAACGATTGTCAATAAGATCACGTTGAAGAAATTGTTCCATAAAATCAAGTAATTCATCAATATATAATGTTAAATTTTGTTGTTTATTATTTAATGGTATTAAATAATCAATAATTGTTTTAGCAGCATCAGTCATATTAACTGCTGTTGGTCGAGCAGTTACTAAATAATTAAGTTGATGTGTAATAAATTGTATAACAGATGATATTGAATCAAATTTTGATCTTGAATTATGTAATTCAACAGCTACACTTAATACACCACATACAGCAATAGCTGGAGCACCTTAAAAATAAAAATAAAAAACAAAATATATATATTTTTACTAATTTTGATATCATTTTTTTATTTCATTGAAAATTATTATTATTTTTTTGCGTGTGATTTTTAGCATATATTATACCTTTCAAAAATTTATTTAAATGAATTCTAGAAAAAAATCAAGATATTTAATGTTATATTATTATTATTCATACCTCGAATTGTCATTGTATGAATAGCTTTCCATGCATCATCAGCTGTATGAATTGATATATAAACTGTTTCATCTGGTAATTTTAATTGATCTAAAATTAATAATGAACCACGTTGATAACGTATTGCTTGTAATGTTGGTGGTGTTTGCATTGCTATAAGAGAAAAAAGAGAAAAAAGAAAAAATTTAAATAACTTTCTAATCAAAAAAAAAACAAACATGATTTGTTGAATGTTGCTTTATTTTAGTTTTTTATCGAAGTTAAACTCACGAATACATATATGTTAGGAACAAACAACAACACAAAAAAATAAAAAGAAGCTTATGAAAGACAAAGAATAAAGCAAAAGCAGTTTTACACAACATCATAGTAGAGCTTATTGTATGTCAGTTGAAGTTTATCATCGGAGATTCACTTCTCTTGTTTTTTTTTTGAATGTTTTCTTTTTATCGAGGTTGATATTATGGTGAAAGAATGTCATCATCACTGCGCGTATCTGGTCCTGTTTCATCAAGAAAATATCCTTGTCTTGATGTATTTGGATTACAACGACAACAAAAATCACATCCATCAGCAGCTAAATGACCTAATCTACGCCACATTTCAAAATTTGGAATTTGATCAACACCACGAGCACCACGTTTTATACGCATAAATAAAAAGCCACCAATTAAATAAGCAGAAGCTAAACACAAAATACTAAAAAAGAAAAACATGAGAATGTCTAAAATGAAAGATAATAATCGGAAATTCAATATAGTAATTTACGTGATGAGAAATATGGCACCACCGCTCATGCTTTTTTTCTCTTGTGGAACAACCGGACACATTTCAGGGATTTGAACTTCAAACACATAATTACAATGTTCATCGGTAGTTGTATGTTCTTCTAAGACTGTAATATTTTCCTGAAAAACAAAAAAAACTACAGTCAAAATGTCTTTTACATGCAATTTTTCTTGTTTTTTTTTATAATGAAATATTCTATAGAATTTATATATAATTTGAGCCTTCATTTTGTCATTTTGAAGAAAAACATATTGTTCATTATTTTTTACCTGTTTATTCTTTGAATTCAATGAGTTTTCTTTTTGCTTTGTAGATAAAAGGGAAAAGAATTATAAAAAGGTTTTTATCTACCGAGGGAACATTTTCAATTGATGAATTATTATTACATCGAAAGATAGTAGATTCTAAGTTATCATCGATCATGCTAATTTCATAATATGACTATGAGAAATTTCTTTAGATCTTCGTCTTCTAACTTTCTAAATTAAAAAAAAAACATTTTGTTAAAATCGCTTTTAATCTACTTGGAATTATGGGAACATATAGAATTGTCTATAAGTTAATAATCTTTTCTATTTTATAAAAATGAGAATTTTAAGTAAAATAATATCATGTTAAAGATTTTTACATTGAAATATTAATATGTATCTATTGTATGAATTAATATAGCTCTATTTTCTCCAGAGAAATAATGAATTGATCCAAAAAAAAGAAATTCAATTTGTTCTAGAATCTAGACAGATCAGAAATAATTTTTAGCAAAAAATTTTGTAGTCTAGAAAAAGGAAATTGCTCATAGTCATATTCGGAATCAGCATGATCTATAACTTACAATTGACTAGTTTTTGGTAGGAAAGCGATTGATCAGTTGACAATGTTCTCTTGGAAGCTAATACATCATATATATATATATATCTATTTGAACAAATGATACACTTCAAACTAATCCATGCAGGCATCTATTTCCTGATTCACGATCAAAGTCTTTTTTTTTTCTCTTTTATAATATAATATAATAAACTATGTTTTATCTAGAATATATATATATATAAATTGAGAATGATATATCTGTAATTTTTCATGTCTAAAAATGTCAAAAAATAACACTATAAAAGAACAGCAATATATTTATTATTATTTTTTCTCCCCTGTCTAGCAGATTATACAATATATTCTTATGAATTTTCTTTTTCTAAGACTTCAAAAAACTAGAAAAATTTCATCGTAAAAATTTTTAGTTTAATAAATAAAAGTCTTTTTATCTTACTTTATTCTGTCCACAAATAAAGAAAATTGAAGCTGAACGCGTATTATCATAACATTGATTGCTATATCGAGTACCATTGTGATATGTCAGAAGTATAAAATTAGCTATGAATAAAATTCTATTGATTTAAAATTAAAATCAAAATAATATGATTAACCTCCTTCAACAAGATTAGCTTCATCTAATTTTCCAAGAACATAAGTATTATTATTATTATTATTTTCTTTTTGTATAACAGCTCCATGAATATCAGCATTGTTAGGTGCTAAACAAATTCCAATTTGATATATTGATGTACTCGTGTTTCTTGTTAAACTACATACAAAAGAAAAAGAAAGAAAATATTAAATAATAAATAATTGAATCATAACAAGTTTATTCACGTATTGTTATATATTTTCCATTTCTTTATTTTATCTTGAAGAACCTTTGAATCATTTGAACGAAAAATACAATCACCATTGACTAATGCACAAAAAGTGATTAAGAAGAATATCACATGCATATGAATATCTCTAGATGAAGAACGATAATCTAAAAAGTTCTTCGTTTTTTTTTTTCTTTATGCTTCTTTTATTCACATTTTTTTTACATTAATTCTATGCATGAATGAATGAATGAATACTATAGAGAAAAAAAAAGACCCTACATAACATCCATTTTACACACTATTTCTTTCGTCTTCTTTTTTTATTTGTGCTTGTGTCGATTTCACATATAAAAACGACGAAAGAATAAAGGGAAAAACAACTTATACGACTGGCACCGATTACATTCACTAGCATAAAATTGATGTGTTCAAGGTTAGTTGAAAATACTCATATATATTTTATAATGTCGTTTATTATTTGTTATTTCTATATTGTTTTTTTTTTTTTTTTTTACTTTTACATTTCAAACTGATCGATCTTCCATCAGAACAAAATATTTGTTTGTTCTCTCTCGTTTTCTTCTACGTAGATAAACTCCTACAAACGAAAAAATAAAATTCACACAAAAAACGGTATGAAATAGAGAAAGAAGAGAAAAAAATATATATAGTTAACCTTTTATATCTATTCGCAATAAGCCGTCTGGTGTTGAATGCTTTGAAAAAAAATATTTTGTCATAAATCCTCCTGTCAAGGTCATACGCAGAAGAAAAAAAAAACACCTTATCACTTTCTCTGCCAAACTTTAATGGATAAAATTTACCTGTTCTAGAATAAAAAATGTCAGTTTTAACTACAAAACCTGATTCTTTACAAGAACAACAAATAAAATCTGAACATGATCATACATCTACGATAGATAAATCAACAGAGATGATTCGACAACGAGTCGAAGATCGTCATTGGCAACTATTTGAAGCACGTTTGAAAAAACAATTACCAAAAGTAAATAAAGAAAATTATACTAACCCAAATGATTACCGTATAATTGATCGTTTAAAAAAAGTCGATCAACCACAACCACCTATTGAACCTCATCAACGATGGGAAATATTTTGTAATCAAATTACAAATAAATCAAATGAAACAAATCGTCTTATGTCTATATTTCATCATGTTTGGCTTAAAAATTGGAATACAAAACGAATAAATGAAATCGAAAAACGATTTATGACTGATCCAACATTAAATAAAAATATTTTTTTAAATTTTATATCAACAAACAATAATGATCAAAAAATAATTTCCTCAATACTTCATCGAACTACTTCATCTGACAAAGTTTCTACTGATAAATATAAAAAATATGTAATATGAACTCTTTTTTTTTGTTCCTTACTTTTCTCACAGATCTTTTCCTTCTTTCCTAATGAAGATAATTGGATCTTTCTTTTTCTCCATATTAGTTATATGATATTAATATATTTTTTTCCTTGAAAAATAAAAAGAACGTTGGTAAAAATTATTTAGAAGAAGTTTCTATGAGTTCATACTTATATTTATTAAATCATAAGGGTACTGTCTCATTTTCTTAATTGTTAATATGGATTTGTCATCTAGGTAAAAGAAGAAAAAAAAAGAAAAAGCACGCTTGTAATGAAAGAAAATGATAATAATTAATTCTTCATTTTCTAGACATCAAGTAAAAACCCTATAGAAACACTGTGTCTTATCATGATCATATAGTCTTTAATTCAATTCATGTAGAATAGACGTAAAATAATGGTATATATCTGTATATCAAATACCTATAAATGCAAATAAAATAATAAATTATTTTTTTTTTTTTTTTTGTTGATCAGATTTTTAATCTAATCCAAAACATTTCGAAAGAGGTCGTGTGTATCAAACTTTTATAATCTATCAATTTAAATTGACAGCACTTGCATATAATTCATAAATGTATTTAAAGATAATAAATCAATATGTTCTGGTAAAAAAATTCATTGGAATTGAGTTCATTTCCTATTTCAACGAACATAAATATCTATTTATTGTTAATAAATAAGTATTTTCTTCGGAGTATACAGTGAAGTATTCTTTTATGTTTGAGTGTACTCATACGAACAATGGTTTATTTTTATTCATGCGATAAGCAAATCAAAGTCCCATATAAAGAAGACGAAGAAAAAAAAAATCATCAAAAATCACATACAAAGCATGTTCTTCAAATAATGATGACTAAAATAAATTAGAAACTATTTAATGAAAGAAATAAAAAACAAAACTCTTGCTTATATTTGAGAATAAAATAGATTTTATAATTGAAAATTTATTTTTGAATGAAGAATTTTTATCTGCTGCTTTTTTTTTACTTAAGCTAAGTTGACAAGACATACCTAATCAATTACTAAAATTAGTTTTTTATCATAAAATATAAGAAAAGTACAAGTCTGTTTTTGAAGCATCTTTCTTTAGACACTAAACCTGATGGGTATAGTTAATTCTCATTTTACTTCCAGAATTATTTTCAGTTATGATCATATTTCTACTATCAAAGAATAAGACCTAGATTTTATACAGGTGGAAATATGAGAAGGATTTTCACATGTTTCGAAATATTTTCTTTTTGATTAAAGAAAAAAGATAAATCCAGTGTCGGAATTCTCTTGGAAAGAGATTTTTCATAAAATAATTTGTAAAATGTAATCCTATTAGAACATTCACAATATATCACTTTTCTACAAAGAATATCATGTATTAAAAGTATTCAATAACTTGAATATGAAATTAATACAAACGTCTACGAAAACAAAATACTATTTAATATATCGACACGATCTTTTTTTTTTCTTTCATTTTTGTTTGGATTTTTCTTACTTTTTATTTAACTTGTAAATCTTCAATAAGGAATATTTAGTAATCTTAAATTTCTTTCGACATTGCTTTCAAGGGTGCTCGGAGTGACTAAGATTGGAATGAGAGATGACTACTGAGAAAATAGCGTTCATGACATTGAAAAGGATCGACACTTGTTTCAGGAATTTGTGAGAAAAATAATCGTTCAATTCCACTGAGGAAAGACGGAAAATTTTCAAGATTGAGGGTCATAACCCTTCTTTATTCTGGACACCCCTGATTGCTTTCATTCTATAGCAGGCAAGTATTCTTTACTTGATTGCTGATTTATCCGTTAAAATCCTTTATTGATAATACTCATGAGTGAGTTTTGATAAGTTGAGTTAACCTGATCAATGAATCTTCTATCGGTTTTTCTTAAACAATATGCATATTATAATACCAAAGAAAATGGGAATATGCTTGAATTATCGGCAAATTATTAGTTTTTTATTTATATATTTCATGTTCATAATTGACATTATTTTGTGTAAGAACTTTCATTTCATTAATCTTTTTCGAATAATGAACATTTTTCATCATTGAAAATCTTTATGCTAAGCAAAGCAAATTTTTTTTTGGTTCATCATCCTAAAATTCTCATTAGCTTGATAGTGCTTGTTGTTTTTTTTTACATAGAATCACAAAAATTTTTTAAATTACAGTTTAATTTGATGATTGCCAACCAAAATATTGTCACTGTTTACAACAATATTGAGAATACCTTCGTCTTTAAGAACAATGTGTCTGGTTATAACAATGGGTTTTGTTTTTATTCGAATTATATGGCACATATTAATATTCATATTATATTATAGCAAATGATTAGAAAATTACCAAATCGTCTGAAGATACTTTTCTAAAAGACTTTATCAGAGATGTTTAATTATATTTTGAAAACTGTCATCAGGACTGTCGATAGTTTTTCGAAGTGGACAAGGCTAAAAATTTGGCAGACAGTCAGAAGCAGTCTGTCTGACAGAAAGTGACTGAGACAAGCTGCCTTCTAAAACTTGCCAGATAGGTTATCAATAATAGCTCTAAATTTTTGAAGACATGCCACAGAGAGAAGGGGGGAGGGGCAAGTACACTCCAGTCCCTCTCATTGAAACATATGATTGCCTCATTAACAGAAAGCCTTTGTACTAACACATCATGTCATCATATCTATCGTTCTATCTTCAACATATATTTATACTTTTTATATGATATTCTTTTTCTCATTATCACCTTTCTTAATGACTTGTTCGGCTAACAATTCTTACCTTTTGTATATACATACATATATATATATCTTATCATTAATAATCTTGTTCGGTCTTACTCTAATATTAGTTCTGTTAAATTTAGATTATTCAGTATTATTTGATACCCTTGAGATAATTAGGAAAGTCATTAGTTTAGTTTTTTATCATTATCTAAAAATAGAAAATAAATCGGAAGTTAAATATGTTGCTTGTTTTTTTTTACGGGATAAAGTATATTTTGTAAAATCATCTCATATATGATTTTCTTTCATTTATCAATATTTAATTCAACAATGAATTGATTACCTAGATAGTATTTTTCTTTCAAGATCAAAGTAGAACATCTTTAACAATCCCAATTATTTCGTACAAAATAAATCTTAAGAAAATTATAATAATTCATTTCCAATAAAAAAAAAAACAAATGTTGTTAATTAAAAAAAAGCTTAAAGAAATTCCTTTATTCACGGTTATTTATGGAAAATATTTAAGTGTTAATACTCATAAAAGAAGAATTATATTAATAGAATATAAATTAAACATACATAAATATGAACCTTTTATTTTTTGCGTTTCATTCATTGTTGATAAGTTATAAATATTAACATAAAATAAATATTTTACAAACAGAACAATCATTATCAGTAAGAAATATTCTATTTAATTTTTTCTAATACTCACATATTTGATATTTGTTATTGAAAAATTTTATTATTACACAAAAAAAAAAAAAAATCGAATCAAGAAAATATTCTTGAATAATATATATGAGAACAAAAAACAAACGAGAGAGAATGGAAATTTCCATTAGTTAAGAGTAAAGAGAAATTGTGCAAACGACGAAAACTAAACATTTATTAATATTCTTCTCATATTTCAAGGTTTAGAAAAAAAAAATAATAATAAATTACCAACTATAGTAATTCTGTTGGTTTTGAAACTAAATGATCAAATTTTTTTCTTCAATCAAGGCTATCTATATGTCTAATGTTTTTGTTTTTCTATATATGATTGAAATATTACTTTTTCGACATCATTAATCATATGTTATTACAATATTTTCAGGCATATTAACATAGATTATATAATAATTATTTCTTCCATTCTAGTCTGTTAGATAATAAAATTCGATTTTTCTTTTCTGTTTTTTTTTTTTTTTGTTGAATAAGAATAATGAAATCAAAATATAAAATAGTTTGGTTGATTAACGAATTTGAATAAATTTAAGTCAAATGTTCCATTGTTTTGTTTTTGAAATTTTAAAATACGATACTTTATCATGAATGATGGTATGGACGTCTTGAATTGTCATATTCAATATCAGATATAATTCTTTGTTGTGTTGTAGAAGATAATGGTCTACTAGATAATCGTTGAACATAACAAATTGTACATAATATAATCAATAGAAGAAAAGCAAGACTAATACCACCGCCTATATAATAATAAAGACGTTGGTCATTAGGACCTTTATTAGTTGCGGCGAAATAAAATAGAACAACAGTAAGAATAAGTAAAATAAAAGCAAAGAAAAGACAAGCATGAACACATCGCTCTTGATCAGTCAGGTGTGATTGATGTAATGTTGTGTCACGGCGACGAAAGAAAAGCATAGTAATTATAATACTCAAAAAAGAATATAATCTAAATGAATAATAGATAAGCAATAAAATACATATCTTTATATATATTGGTTGTTATGATATATATCAATGTGCTGAAGTACATACTATTTTATTCACGCTCGATCAATACTCTTTTTTCCAATAGAATCGTCATCAACTACTCTATCGCCATTACTTATAGGCATGTGCTGCTCTTGTTTATGCTCTAGAAAAACAAAACCAGACCTATTTATCACATATTAGCCGATATGACGGCATTGGTACCAAACATCGTCTTATTATTACAGATTGCTTTTCCTTCGCTGCCTATAAAATGACAGTAACAAAAAGAAGAAGAATAGCGAAGACCATTAAGTCTAGAAAAAATGTCCCAAAGTGCAAATCAGAAAGACAAACGTCTTCAGATTTTCTCATTCTGTTCCATTAACAGTTCATTGAAATCAATAGACGGATAAATGTTTGCATTTTTATAGATCATAATAGTTCTTGTACGTTACTTACTTATAAAATAACATGTTCGATCAAATAATCATGTTAAATAATAAGAGCGAAATCGACATAGGTCTTTTTCTTCTTCTTCTTTTTTCTTTTCTCGTTAAATATATTAAAAAAAGAAAAGCAATTGTTTATCATAGACGAACAAAAGTAGTCGTTTCAGAAAGTCAGTAGAGAAAACAATGTCCCTTTCTCGTCTATTATTGTTCAACGTCACATTAATGTTTCATTTTCTTTTCGGTTTTACTTCTTTGTCGTCATCATCTTCTTTTTTTTTTTTTCTTTATTCTTTTCATCTATTCTCTTTTCTTTTCTTAATTTTTCTTATTGTCATTTGTATAACAACAATTGGCAAAAAATCACACGGGAACAAAAGCATATTCTTTTCTTACAAATCTAGTCACATAAATCTCTCTTTAGTAAATTACAAAAGAAAGAAAGAAAAAAAGAAGAATATTTAACAAAGTTAAATGAATTGTTTTTTTTTTTCTTTATCCGAGAGTTTTGTTTTATGTGTCACTAAATGTTATTTGTTATTTGTGGCTAAAAAAGCATCTGAGTTAGATAAAAGAATAGATACCGTATAAGAAAATACATAATAAATGTTTGTTCTGTTCTATAAGACACAAAAGAACGACATTAGAACAGTTGTCGAAAACTGTTGTTGATTATTCAGACAAAATATAGAATACATCTTCCTGGATTGAATTATTCATTGATTTTATCATTTCAACGACAAGGACACACTTATTATTGTTATCATATTGTGTACAATCTATCGTATATGATTTAATAAATAATATCAAACCAGTATTTGTTTTTTTTTTATACAACTAACAGAAATACAAACAATTTTTTCGATATCATAATAATATAAGACAAATTTTAATTTTTTTTTTTTTTATTGATAAATAAAAAGAATATTCCTTATCTGACATACATTTATATGTGTATACAGATTAAACAAGAAAGAAAAAAAAAATTTAGAGTTCAACATTTTTGTATGAACATATATAATTACAAACTACATTTATTGACTACATCTAAATTGTATTTATCATTATTAGAATTAATTAAATGTGTTTTATTATGATAATCAATAAGTTTAATTGTAGTCATTGAATTTAGATCGTCATTAATTGAATAAGTTACTTTAAAACGTGTTATGGATGTATTTGGTGCTATATCTTGTATAGTATCTAAATATTGTCCTATATCTACTTGTAAATCATAGACAAAATATTTAATAAATTCTCGTATAATAGCTCCATGAGTAACAATAAGTATATCAAAATCAGAAAAATTATTTTTATATGATGAATGTAATAAATCTTTAGATAAATTTTGTTGTTTTTCAAAACTACTACGACGTGAAAGAAGTGATATGGATGATGTTATTGATTGTTGATCAGATGATACAGATAAGAGATCAAGTGCTGAATCAAAAGATGATGATTGATATGATGTTGTTTTTATCATATTAGTTATTAATTTAATTTGAATATTTCCTGTTGATAATGAACGTTTACGAATTAAATTTGTTATTGTTTGTTGAGATGAAATAAAATTTTCTGATGAAATACTACGTAATAAAGATTGTTCATTATTTTCTTGTGATAATGAATTAGGTATATAAAATTTTACTGATAAATTTGTACGAGAGTTTTTAAGAAGTTCATGACATAAATTTCGAAAAAATTTTATAACACGTTCACGCACTTGAGCTGTACTTTCAGCACCTGGAGGTGTAAAATTTACATATGGAATACCACTTTCTTTTGCTAATTCACGTAACCATTGTCGTGTTCGACCTTCCGCAATACCATACATCTAAAATAATTTTGAAAATAAATAATTCAGATTAAATAACATGCAAAAAAATATAAAAGATAACTGACTCGTTCGCGTAATAAAGAATCGTATTGTATTTTGCATGATGATACACGATTGAATGCACGAATTTGACGAGCTGTCTGAAAGGTGGAAAAAATAATTATTAAAAAAATATTATAAATAAGTATGATAAGGAGAATTAATAAATAAGATGAATATATATATATGTAAGAACAGAAAATTTAAATTTTTCATTGAATAACAGATGAGTAAAATTTATGAATATTGAATTTTATTTTTAATAGAAATCTTCAAGATAAATTTTCTATTGATATGATAAATTTTTATATGAGATTCTAAGTTTAAAATATTTTTATTTTTGTTTGAAAACAAAAATATTTTAATAGATGTTTTTCTATGAATGACATCTGGCATTTATTACGCGTCTTCAAGTATCGTCCGAACTTTTTATGTATCATCTGTACTGTATTGTATCCAAAAGAACCTAATGATAAATGGCTTTTACGATGTTACTAAATATATCATTTATATAAAATAATGTCAACAGTTATCTATATATGTCATTTAACATTTAACACTTTTTCACCTTCACAAGATCGATGACGAATTTATCTATTATTTACTTATTCCAAAGAGATAAGACAACAAAATGAAACAAATGCACTTACTTCAGCTGCTCGTTTTAAGTCGCTGGAATAGATGTGTGAAAAACGATGATATTGAAGATATTGACCAAGTGCTTGTGATTGAAGATGGCCAATATTGGATAATTCAGTATCTATTAAACCTTGAATAGTACCTTCAGCATTCGCACGTGTGGCCGCACTTTAAAAAAATAAAATAAACAAAAGAATAAATTTAGATTTATTTTTGAATATAAAATATTTACTGTCGAACAAGTGTTAAATTGAAACGAACATGATCGATATTCTTAGTATTTTGTAAGATTATTGTACTATTTAAGTAAAACAAACAAAACAAATGAAACAATCAATAAATGTAAGAATAAACAAAACACCGACTTCATTGTAATGATTGTAAATCTTTTTGCATTGGTTTTGTCACAAAAATATGTGCTTCTTATGCGTTTCTATTAAGTATATATCGCCGTTGGAAGGTGCAGTTTGGTCACGAGAACAGATGACTTTTTTTATTAGTCTTATCTAAAACATTCACAAACTTAGATATTATTCAATGCGTGTATGACTACATGCATAAGTTTATTTTTTTCCTTTTCTATTCTTTGTTGCTCTGAACTATTACATCGATAAAATACAAAAAAGGATTAAGTACAAAAGAAAAAATAAGTATCCAAACATATGAATAATGTCGTCTTGTATACCTGTTGACTATCTAACAAACAAGTATTTTATTATTATTATTATTATTATTATTATGATCGATATGTATTTTCATCATCTTATTTGCGTTGCTTTCGTACTTGTTGTAAATTTTGTATTTTGTTGAACGTGAGTTCAATTTTATTTTAATAATGAAGAATGAAAGAACGAAAGAATGAAAGAATCAAGAAGAAGAGAATGTGAACAATAACCATCCTTTTCGCATAGAACAAGGAATATATATATGTATATATGATGATAACCGTATCATGTATTATAAAAAATGCAATAGAAAAGTTAATATGCAAAAAGAATAAAAAAAAAAGAAAAAAGATCAAGGTCAATATCAATGTTTATTGACCGAGAGAGAATAGAAATGAATGCAGAGTATATAATGCAAGGAAACGAATGAATAATTTTGAACGATCAAGAAGAACTAAAGAAACAGGCACATAACAGAAAAGAGAAAGAAAATAAACATGCACATATCTAGTTCATAAGGAAGAATAAATCCTTAACATTTGTTTTTATATATTTTAACAAAATATGTATAGCATCACCTGACAAATGGAATTTAAAAACAAAAAGGCGAAAGAAAAATAGCAATACGCAAAATATTTCAAGTAATTGCATGAGAAATGTGTACGACTTTGTGGAGTGTGGGTGTGGGCGTGTCGTTTGTGAAGAGAGAAAAACAAAACAAGAAATTCATAAGCAATATAAGTCATGTCCCTTTAATTATCAATTAGGTTTTAATATTCGTTCAAATATTGTTGATTTTTATTATTTATTGGTAATAATCATTTATCTGTACTAAATGTTTGCATAGGCAATAAGATTGAGTTTTGTTTTTATTACAATCATATTCGAGAAAAAAAGAAAATTTATAATTTACAATCAAGAAATTGTTGTCTATGATGAGTCACAATAGATAGAAATGTTTCTCGAATGATATGTAATCAGTAACAATAATATTCAGGTCGTTTAGTAGAAATAAATATTCATTGATTTATCTTAATACAAACACAACTGAATTGTTTATGAAGCTAGACAAATAAATAAACTTTTCATAATGTATAATACCTTATGAATACAACTTTTTCCTAGACAAAATTATAGTGATAAGAATATCTAGCATTTTTTTTTCTTCTTATCGATATTTAAAATATTATATTATAAATTTTAGTTATAAGCATCGACAGATATACTCGAAAATAGAAACTAATCCATCTTCTTTTGTAGATGTTTTTTTTTCTTAGTGAAGAAATCTATCTTTCGTGATAATCTTCGAAAGGTTATTATCTAAATTGGCCTAATTATAATTTTCAAGCAATAGGAAAACAGATATGATGGAAAAGAATAATTAGCAAAAAATTTTCTGATTGTTTTTGACAATAATTAAAGTTTGTCTAGAGAAAATCATAATTAAATGTCACCATTTATTTATGAAAAATCTCATCATTATATAGACAAGAAAAAAAAAGAAAATGATAATTCATTTTTGAAACAAGTATTGATAAGAAAAAGAAAAGATTAATACAGACAGGAAAATTATCAATCATTTACTAGTGTGCTTAATCACAATCCCCTACTTGTTTTGACGTGTCATGTTCGTATTTTGTTTTTGTAAAAGAAAAATGACATTGCAAACTTCATATTTATGATAACAATATTTATTTGACGTCAGAATAAACAAAAATAACAAAATATTTTATGCTTAAACAACAACGTTAATAATTCGAGACGTGACGATCAGTAATATATCAAAACAAGTCGCATATGAAACGCGTGCTTGACACACTATAGACTTCGTTTACGAATTGAATAGTAAAGCTTCTTCTCGGTAATCAAAAGTTAATCTTTTTTTTTCAAAATTATATAGATAACAAACAGTACAGTACTCATGATATAACCTTTATACTTGATTTTGTCTTCAAGTATTTGTCTAACTCTGATTTGTTTTATGTACAATATGATTATTGACTCAGTTTTCTTTGTTTTTTTTTGTTTTTTGATAAAAATTAATTGCAAACAGAAATAATAATAATAACAACAACGTTTCTATTTATCATTGGATGCAGAGTATTCGATTTCATTGTTTTTCTCGTATTTCAAATTTTATTTGATATTATGCAAAAGTCAAAGAGAGAAGAATTGTCTTTAAATTAATCTTATACAACAGTAATTATGTCATGAGATATTTTAACGTAAAATAATATGCAAAGAAAAACTTCATCAACTAAGTAGGTCAAAATGATCTTAACAACTAACAATCAATTAAGATCCATGTCTTCATCTAAATAGCATGATTATCTATACTACGCCTATTAAAGTTGATAGAAAAATGTCCAATAGGATTGTAAGTCTTAAACAACATTTCCTTGTTTTAAGTTTCTCCAACACTATGACTGAAATACGGGACTACTCAATCAAAATTGTTCTTATAGAGAAAAATGTAGATCTGTCAACTGTGATCAATCACTATATAAACAAAACTATACATTTTATTGTTGATAAAATTGGCTTCGAAGAAAAAAAACTTATATTATACAATTCGATGCGTCTTGAGTTCTCTTTCCAACGGTAAAAATGAAAAAATAAATGATCGCCAAAACGAAGTTCAGTAGTACAGATCATCGAAAAGACATCGATGATGAGATATACAGTCGAAATTAATTTATATAATTTTGAATAATAGGATCTTCATCCTCGTATTCTTGCTCAAGGTTTTCAATTGGTCAAAAAAGAACCATTAGAAATACTTGATAAGCTTAAAATCTTTCTAACAACTGACCGTGAAACATTCATTTAAGTTGCTTATACTTCTTCAAGTACAAAATTGTTACTTGAAAATGTTCATATTCTCACTGATGTTCGTAATTATCATCTGTTTCATTACATTAATGAACTGTTGTCAATAAAAATAGATTGTTATCGATGCTAAATTAGCTTTAAATGAACCAGGAAAACCAATTGATTTCAATATGGTCGAAATTATGGAAATATACAATATCGAACAGAAGCTGATTGACGTCTTGTACGCACGATTGTTCTTGATCATGGTGGTCGTCATCCATCGATGCCTAAAGCAATTTAAAATGCTTATATATTAACTTGTAATGTTTGATTAGAATACGCAAAAAATGTATGTTGTGATTAATTTAATAAATAGAAGCAATCAAGATCTTTGTTTTTTAGAGAAGTTAATAACGGTTTCTTTTATAAAAATGCTGAAGAACGTGATCGCCTTGTTACATCTTTCACGGAAATTTATTCATGATCGTGTTTCAAAAATAATGAATTTTAAACGAAAAATTTGTTCAGCTAATGATCAAAATAAATTAGTTGTTATCATCAATCAAAAAGATTAAGATACATTATCACTTGATGTATTGGCAAAAGATGGAATCTTGCCATTAAGATGTGCGAAATGTTGAAATATGGAATGTTTAACGTTAACATGGGGTGATGAAGCATCAAGCAAGAAAAATTTGGAATTTTAAATGATAAATTCGAATTTTTTTCAATTAGTTCGGTTGAAAATTTAATAAAGGAATATTTTGGCTTTGCTGAAGATGTTTATGAACATATTTTGGTGAAGAAAATTCATTTGAATTTATTTTTATCTTTGAAATGTTTGTTTTTCTTCGCGAAGAAAAATTTACATTTGTTAAAGGTTATAAAAATCCCTTATCAGTAACAGTTTTACTCAAAAATTCAACCAAATATATATTGAATCAATTAAAAGATGCTCTTCGTGATGATCTTCGCCCAATAACAAATACAATTGAAGATGGTTAGTTTTATTTTTCGATTGATGAATTATTTTTGTGAAACAAGATCGAAACTGAGTGTTCAAATTTAGAGGTAGAAATGTATGACCGACATTGCTATGGACACATAACATGTATTGTATCGTGACTGGACGATTACGAAAAAGTTTTTTCTTGGCACTCACATAATGAATCATTTGATAGTGATAGAAAAACTGAACAAATTCCATATGATTCGAAGAAATCATGAATTTATTATGCATACTTTTAATGTGGAAACAGTCAATTACGATGTGGTAAAGTAGATATTTCACAAAACATAGTAGACATCTTACCAACACCTTCTCTCTCGGTCACAGAATATAAGCAACATCTGAGTATTGGTATTTCGTCCATGCAGAAGCATGAGATGCCTAATTCGAGTTCGAATATAAATGAACCTTCGACTGCGTAAAATCACTTCGAAAATATATAAAAAACGGCACTCATGTTATTTTGGCAAAAAAGCAAAAGATAAATTTTATCCTAGTTATAAAATTATAATTCGAATTTAGACACTTATATTAGTCTGGCAAAAAAGCAAAAGATAAATTTTATCCTAATTATAAATTTATAATTCGAATTGAGACACTCATGGAAGTCTTATACATCAAACTTTAAACTTGAATTCAATTGAGTTGCGAAGTTTCAAGTCCAAGGGTAATCGAGGGTGGGGAACTCGAATCTGATATTACTTTTAATTAATTATTAACCAATTATTAATTAATTATTAACTAACCGTTAATTATTAATGTTTTCCATAAAACTTCACCATAGGGTAATCGGGAGCGAGGAATCCAAACCTGACGTTAGTTTCAGCTAATTAATTGCTAATTAATTATTAGCTAATTATTAATTAATTATCGATTGTTATTATTTTTCGTAAAACTTCACTAAAGGTAATCGAAGGTGAGGAGTCCAAATCTGAGATCAGTTTTAATTAATTAATTAATAATTAGTTATTAACTATTTCCTATTGTGCATTTTCTTGATTTCTTTTCTTATTGTCTTTCTTTTTTCATGTAATTACCCATGTACTTTCCCAATTGTATTGTTACTTACTTGGAATATCTAATCCACTATCTAACATTTGGTATAAATACCTGCTGTTTTTTATGTGAGAGTATCTAATTTAGGTTAGAAATAAACTTATATACACAATAAAGTATTAAAAATCTAATATCTGAAAGCAGTCTTTCTACGAGAAAGAGCTGAGCGAGTCTGTAGACGAGCGTTTCTGTATGTCAAGCTTGAAAATTCAACTCAACTATTCAATAATTGAATACTTGAATTTCAAGCTTTGAAGTATTCAGCTATTCAATCGCTGAATAGTTAAAGTTCATCTATTCAAATATTCCATTAGTCATCTAAGGAATAGTTGGAGTTCAAGTATTCATTTGGGAAATAGTTGAAGTTCACCTGTTCAAGTATTCAGTTATCCAATAACTCAATAGTTGAACTTTAAATATTCGATAGTGTTAGTTCCGAAAGTTGACTTGAACTCTTCCATAAACTTACGAATATTGACTGATGGCGGTAAGCGCTTTTCCCCGACTAACTGAACTTTTATATCAGCGTCGCGGCGGGGGGGGGGGAGTACGAAGCGCTTCCCGTAGAGCCGCGAACTATGCTCATCTCTGTGTACACCGCAATCGAAGTATATCATGTTTAGACCCACTACTGAATACTTAACTATTTGAACTTCAAATATTCAATAACTGAATAGTTGAAACAACTATTCAATAATTGAATTCAAGTTTCAAGTTTTACATATATGTGCCCGCGAAAGAAGTGGTCACAATACGACACACATCACATCACACGTGAAGTGGATGCCGCGAAAGGAGTGGCCACAATACGGCACTCACCACATCACACCTAGTGTGGGTGCCGCGAAAGGAATGGCCATAATGCAACACATCACATCGCACCTGGTGTGGGTGCCGCGAAAGGAGTGGCCACAATATGACATATCACATCGCACCTAGTGTGGGTGCTGCGAAAGGAGTGTCCACAATACGACACACAACACATTGCAACTGGTGTGGGTGCTGCGAAAGGAGTGTCCAAAATACGACACACATCATATCGCACCTGGTGTGGGTGCCGCGAAACGAGTGGCCACAATACGACACACGTCACATCGCACCAGGTGTGGGTGTCGCGAAAGGAGTGGTCACAATATGACACATATCACATCGCACCTCGTGTGAGTGCCGCGAAAGGAGTGTCCAAAATACGACACACATCACAACGCACCTGGTGTGGGTGCCGCGAAACGTGTGGCACCTGTACGACACACATCACATCGCACCTCGTATGGGTGCTACGCAAGCAGTGGTCGCTTTTTCGTGGCCACAATACGACATACGTCACATCGCACCTGGTGTGGATGCCGGGAAAGAACACGCCCGGAAAGGGTTGAAACTTGAAGCTTGAAAACTCAATTCAATTCAAGCTCCAAGCTTGACATACAGTAATGCTCGTCTACAAACTCGCTCAGCTCTTTCTCGTAGAAGGACTGCTTTCAGATATTAGATTTTTAATACTTTATTGTGTATATAAGTTTATTTCTAACCTAAATTAGATACTCTCGCATAAAAAACAGCAGGTATTTAAACCAAATGTTAGATAGTGAATTACATATTCCAAGTAAATAACAATACAATTGGGAAAGTACATGGGTAATTACATGAAAACAGAAAAACAATAAGAAAAGAAATCAAGAAAATACACAATAGGAAATAGTTAATAACTACTGCCGGTTTCAAAATAAAAGGTGGGTGAGTATTTTCTAAATAACTTTTCATAGGAACAAGATAGAGAGCTGCGGTCTTCACCGCTGAAAAGAGCAGATAAAAGCGCATCGAACCATATAAGTCAATGACTTTTAACTTGGACTTTTGAAACGTTTTGCAATAAATGCACAAAGGAATGCCTTAACAACAGGCCAGATTTTTCTAGGAAAAAACAAAAAAAAGTGAAAAAATGACCTTTTTTTTGCACAAATTTGTGGCAAAGTGGACTAGAATTGTCGAATATAATACCTAGAACTCCCAAACCAGTAAAGCTTTCAATCGAGTCTTATATATAGTTTTGTAGCTTATCAGCTACCGATTTTAATTCACTCCTGAAAGTTTAAAATATGTTCTATCTTCATAGAGCACTAGGCTAGTCTTTCACGATAACCATAGATCGCTATTTATTTATGAAACAAATCGCAACAATTTTATATGAATCGATGCGCTGGATAGACCTCTTTCCAACGGTCAAAATCGCAGCTCTCTATCTTCTTCCTGTTAAAAGTTATTCAAAAAATACCCACCCGCCTTCTATTTTGAGGTGAGCGGTAATTATTAATTAATTAATTAAAACTGATCTCAGATTTGGACTCCTCATCTTCGATTACCTTTAGTGAAGTTTTACGAAAAATAATAACAATTGATAATTAATTAATAATTAGCAATTAATTAGCTGAAACTAACGTCAGATTTGGATTCCTCACTCCCGATTACTCTATGGTGAAGTTTTATGGAAAACATTAATAATTAACGGTTAGTTAATAATTAATTAATAATTGGTTAATAATTAATTAAAAGTAATAACAGATTCGAGTTCTCCACCCTCGATTACCTTTGGACTTGAAACTTCGCAACTCAATTGAATTCAAGTTTAAAGTTTGATATATAAGACTTCCATGAGTGTCTCAATTCGAATTATAAATTTATAATTAGGATAAAATTTATCTTTTGCTTTTTTGCCAGACTTACGTAAGTGTCTCAATTCGAATTATAAATTTATAATTAGGATAAATTTTATCTTTTGCTTTTTTGCCAGACTTATATAAGTGTCTCAATTCGAATTATAAATTTATAATTAGGATAAAATTTATCTTTTGCTTTTTTGCCAGACTTATATAAGTGTCTCAATTCGAATTATAAATTTATAATTAGGATAAAATTTATCTTTTGCTTTTTTTTCTACTTGGAGCGGTGTGTATTGTTGGAGAAAATTTTTGCTTTTTGCTTTTTGCCTGTTGGAACATGAAAGCCGTTTTTTTTTAATTTTTTATTTATATTCGAACTCGAATTAGACATCTACTCGATATTGAATTCTTCAAATAAGACTTCGAAAATCATATTTCATTTGCTGGAGAAATTTAAGAGAAGGGAACAAATAAATCCGCTTATGCGCTCATCATATTTTACAGAAGAAATTATTTCTTGACAAATTTTCACCTTCGTGTTACATGTCTTTGTCAACTAGCGCTACCTATTGAACTGTTGAATCGAAGATTTATTACTTGAGTTTTTCTATTCTAATAATTTTTCTTGTTTTTGGAATAAATTATAATTTTGTGCATTGTATTGTATACATTTTTAGCATCCGTATTAATTTGTATTATCTATTCTGATCAGCTGATTTATAGACTATCTCCGTGTCCTATTTGATATTGGAAACAACAATAAATCATATCGATATCTTTTGTAGAGAAAGTGTTGAGAAAAAAAATGGCATCAAATTTATCTAGAAGATTAGCACAAAACTTGAAATCAGACAATCCATTTCGAGAGCTATCGATGTTCTTCAACAAAGATGGACCAATATGGTTAACAATTAGATCACTTGTTAAAAGTCTTGAAGATCAAAAAGTCAATTATGCAGTTATTGGTGGTTTAGCCGTGTATGCACATGGTTACGAACGAACAACTCATGATTGTGATATTTTGTTATCTAGAGCTGTAAGTATGTTTTTATGAATTAATAAGTATCTTACTGAACATTATTATTTTCTAATTAGGATTATGAAAAATTTATGGCAAAACTTGTGAATTTTGGTCTCAAACCGAAATTCGAGGGTAGAAAAAAAAAGTTTGTTTTTACAAGTACAGGTGTATCTGTTGATGTTGCTATAGAAGGAGAAGTACGTTTTGAATGATTCAACAAGCTTGTTTCTTTGAACTTTGTTTATTTATTTAGTATCCAGGTGGTGGTTCAATTGGACCAATTTCGTTTCCGAATCCAAAAGTTTGTCAACAAAATATTGATGATATGAAGGTTATTTCATTACCAAAACTAATCGATTTAAAATTAGCATCGCACCAATATCGGCCAGTTGATCGCGCAAAAGATTTTAGCGATGTTGTTGAATTAATCAAAATTTTGAAATTAAATCAATTATTTTCAAATTTATTAGATCCCGCGGTTCGAAATAAATTTGAACAAATACTTCTTGGTCTTGAAGAAGAAAAGCAAAGAATGAGTGATAACGATGAATAATTTGCCAAATTTTTGTTCTTCTTTGATTTTTCAGTAGAAGATATAATGATCGATGCAAAGGTCTTGGCATAAATGTTAAACTTGCCTGTGAGCAGACGAAAGAAGGTAGAAACTCAATTCTTTTTTCATCGGATAGATCAGAGTCTGTAGATCAAAAGTGCATTTTTCCAAAAAAGGAAATTTGGACTTACAAAGAGCGCGACAGTGTGAGACACAGAAGGGCCAAAGCGACATTGTAACGTTCGCGTATTTTTGTTGTATTTAAATTTTTGTAATCAGGCTAGCTCCAACAAACTTTGATGAATTGAGTTCAAACTTTCTAGTTCGATATATCAAAGTGTTAGTTCTCCAAAAAAATAATTTCGAGCCTATCACACTCCATTGTAAGGCTGAGGCATGCTTCCACTCCGCGTATGAGCAGTTTTCTCGTCTCTTAGCTTTGTCCACACAGTTTGTACCTTGCGCTTATGATGAAATTTAGATTTGAGCAGTTGATTAGATACAGCTTTTCAGGCGCCTTTCCAATATCGAACTCAAACTGACGCTTGAAAAACTGTTCAAACCATAATTCAGTACTAGAAAAACTGGTGAAAAAAAAGTCATTTTGGTCCACTTTTTACTAAATAGAAGTTGGCCCATATCACCGGACCGCAATATTTGTTTGAGCTTAAACATTTTTGCAAGATGAAGCCTCACTTTCTTCATCAACTGGCAGCAAGAAAAAATTTGGAATATGCCAGGTGCTGAAACAGGAAACAAAACTGTAAAATGTTGGTGCTTATGCGATATTTTTGGCCCATTTCGAGCTTTAAAATTTTGGGCACTTCGTAAGTACAAATTTTTTTTTGAAAAATACATTTTTGATCTACAGGCTCTGATCTATCCTGTGGAAAAAGAATTGAGTTTCTACTATCTTATGTCTGTTCACAGTCAAGTCCGACATTTGTGTCGAGACTTTTCCATCAGTAGTTATACCGTTGCTTTTAGTCATTGATATTTTGTTTTGAAAGTTTAATAAAGATTCTATTCGATGACATTGACTTCTTTTTCGATCTAACTTCGAACAATATTTGCTTCACGGAGCATGAATCAAAAGAAAGTACACTGTAGCTGGTTGAATATCTGAAAATCTAACCGCTTTAAATTATGCATAAAAAAGAAAAAGATAAGAAAAATAATTGGATCTTTTCATTTTGTGTTGAGCACAAGAATGACACAATGTTGAATAAAATCTAGAACTATTCAAAAAGAATTATTAACTATTTAATACCATAATTGATGTATGTATAGATCTATTGATTTACAAAGAGGCACCACTTAAAGAAATTGGTAGCTATTTAATTGAATTTTGAAGTTATATAATAGTTATAATAGTTGTTCACTTGTTTCTTCGAATGGTTCGTTGTAGTTTAGTTCTATTGTCATTTTATTATTATTCAGAAGTGAAATATCTTTAATGATCATGAACATTATTTCAAAGATGTTATTTATGTTGAATTATTTCAATATACTTCATTTATAATTTTGTCTGATTTTTTTAATAGGAATATCATCGAAAAACTTAAGTTTTTATAAAGTGCTCATTTCTTTATTAGATGCTGAATATGATCGAGAAGAACCAAATGAAAATCCAAAATTCGAATCATCTCAGTAAAAGTTTAGGAAAATTATTTGAATAGAAAATTTCATTTGTTTTGTTTTTAGACAACGTGAAACATGATTTCCTTGGTTTTCATCATCATTTCATAGATTTAAAAATATTATTTGGTGAAAATTGAAATAATATATCATTGGTTGCTTATTTCAGTCTGTTTCATCATATTCTTACTTCTATTTCTATGTCCTATGCCTGTAAGTTTTAATGATCTATTTTTAATTTTTATTTATTTTGAATTCTTTTTTAGAGTAATAGTTGGCCTTGTCTTTCGCGCATATATCCGGGTGATTGTATCTGTTTGTACTAAAACAATTATAATATTTTTTTTTTCTTTTACTCTGTTTTGTTTAGTAATAAATTTTTCTCATCTACAACAAGATTATTATACTTGATATAAATCAATTTCGATTTAGAAGATTCTAAGAATGTTCTATTTCTCAATTGTTAATGGATTTTTTTGGATCATGTAATATTTTTCATAGAAACTTTAAGATAAAGGATTGAAAAGCAATTTTTTTATTAATTACACCAAGATGAGATATGACAAAACAAAGACATGTTGATTGAACACGACTTGATAATAATACTTTTTCAATTGCTCTTATCGATTTCTGCGTTCGCTTTCTTTATGCTCGATCGAGAACAATTATTGACGTTTATTATATAATCAAAAAACATATATAGATAAAAAAAATATATGAATATATATGAAAATGTCTTCAATTATTTAATTGAATTATCGATTTTGATAATGATAGATGTTGACAAATAATATCTATTTCATAAATATTTAATTTATATGAAAATTTTTTTTAATTAATAAAAAATCTTTTTTAATTGTAATATACTATTAGATTTATTAATGTGATAAGAAGCACAACATTTATCTAGTCATTGGCAAGTTTTTTTCGTTTTTTGTTTCTTAGTCAATATACGCATAAAAAATTCTTATTTTCTTTCTTAATGATCTCAAGAGCAAAAAGTGACAAAATATTTGTTGAAATAAGATGATCAAATGAAAAAGATCTCGTTTTTTGTTATGTTCAATAAAAGGTTCAACTTGAATTTTGCTCGATTAAACGAGGAAGAAAAAGAGAAAATTTATTTTGATTGTTATTTGTTTCTCAATCTTGGAAATATTTAAAATTAAAATCGATATCTTTTAATTTGATTTCCAATTTGATTGAAAGAGAGTGGGTGTGGGTGTGGGTGTGGGTGTGGGTGTGGGTGGGGATGTGCAGTTTCGGTGAAAATACTGAAATACTGGCAGTGAGTAACCGACAATGAGTTCACTGACACAGTGACAACACTGACAGTGCATGCATTGAAGTACTGAAGAAACCGAAATACCGACGTTTACTGATACAAAAATGGCAGTAAACGTCAGTAGTTCGGTTTCTTCAGTGCTTCAGTGCATGCAGTGTTAGTGTTGCCACTGTTTCAGTACACTCAGTGTAGGTGACATCAGTGATCAGTAAACTGAAACTGCACATCCCTAGGTGTGGGGTGTGGGTATTGGTGTGGATGTGGGTGGCTGAGGTATGGGTGCCAGTGTTGGTGTGGGTGTGGGTATGGGTGGGATGTCGGTGTGGGTGTGGGTATGGGTGGGATGTCGGTGTGGGTGTGTGTATGGGTGGGATGTCGGTGTGGGTGTCACTTGAGAGAATACTGACACCCACATGCCACACCTCACACCACACCCACACCCCACACCCACA